GCAAACGATCCGGCACTCGACGTGTTAACGAACAGCCCAAGATCCACATTCGACGTTTCTCATTACCATTTCCAAATCGGCCGTTCTAATTCTAATAATCCGGTTAATTACGAAACGGGTAATTCCTGCGTCGACTGTCTATTAGATACCTACAGGAATAAATGAATCCTCGCGCACGAAATTAGCCTAATCCATTAAATCTCGCGGGAAGCGGGTTTTAACGGCGAACAAACATTCGACGGCGACGCGAAAACCCGACTGACAAGAGAAAACGGAAAGACCGCAAAGCGCAGAAGAGAAGACACGACCGCAAGGGAGAGATTATACGAACGTAATTAGATAAAGTTCTGGGCTGTGGTCGAGTTAATCTGTTTCACGGCGATCGGAGTAAATTATGCATGCGCCGTCCGGCCGGACAAAGGACCTCCAAGCGACGCCGCGACGTCCGACGACAACGACGCCCTTACGTATTCATCGCGACTGTATTCGCTACGAAGCTATCTTATAATTATTTCAACGGATTCGGTCGGTGCATTTAATGAAAAGTAAATTGATTTTGTAGCTTTTAAAACTAAATATGCATCCGACGACTCATCGATTGACGTAGAAATTATTTGGGGAATTTTTTGTTGTTGAAATTTCTGCGATATCGTTACACGAAAGGAACTTTCGCGGATTGGATTTCGTGTTTGTAAACGCTTAATCACGGAAGCGTTCCATCGTCGGGCGATAACAGGCGGTTCAAGATAACAGGCGGTTCAATTGGTTGCATTCGAGCTTTTAGCGCGTCATTGAGACGGCGGTCGTGTCGCCTGCGGTGGTGAGTAAGGAGTGTTTGCACAGTAAAGCTCTCCTCGAAGAACATTCGAGATATTTAGTCGAGATGTCGGGATCTCTTCCATAAATTCCCAGCGACCGCTAATAATACCTACAGTAAACCGGGACGCTTAGTATCAAATATATACGGATGTAAATCGGGCGTCCCAGGAAGATAAGTAGTCCCATCAGGAAAATAACCACGATTAATTAGTTTCTCTTTCAATATAATAGTTATACAGGGTGATTTTTAATAACATGCTGATACTGAAAGGGGTGATTCTGGGGTCCATTTTAAGAAAAAAAAATCATATGAACTTATGTCCTAAATGGCTTAACTTTTGAGATATAGGATGTTAGTTTTGTGAAAAAAATCAACTTTTTACTGTCATTTCCATACCACTTTAAATATTTTTATGAAATTTGGTGTACAGCGTTTGTGTATTTAAGAGGATTGTTTGACCTAAAAAACATTTTTTTTATTTCCAACAGTGTCGTTCGTACTGGACTCACGTCAAATATTTTTAAGGGTAAAAGTGGTACGCCACTGCTTTCTCTTGAAATAAAAATTATTTTTGGACGCCCCGTTCAATTTAAAACAAATTTGATTTTTTGACTTTTTTTGTATGACTCACCGTTTCGCATTAAAAAATTTAAATGCATTCATTAGCCGCTGTGCAAGAAATTAGGTAATAATAAATTTTAGGTTTACGACGATGTTCATATGAAGTTTTCTTCTTAAAATGGGTCCAACACACCCCCTTCAGTATTAGTATGTTATTAAAAAACACCCTGTATATACATTGTATTCATATTTAGTTATAAGCATTTTTTAGTTAAAATTTCATCTCTTGAAATTTTAGATAAGCGTATTTTTTTCTTGTGAAATTCGAAAATGCTCGCTACGTTTCCCAACTACCAGACGCGGAAAGTCGTTGTGCAAATAACCCCCAGAAACCGGCGTTCCTAATAACAGCCGTCTTTCTATATGACCAAATATTGACACTTCGTGGTCGGTACACAGCGTGTCTCGTCATCGCCGTCGCTCACTCCACCCCGCCGCCGGTTCGCCTCCAACCCCCGCCCCCCGAACAAACTAACTCCTGCAGTTCTATTGGGTAAATTATTTGAGTTGCTGAACTAACAAAACTAACGGCCCGATGTTTACCCTCAGTATTATCTGTGATGAAAATGTGGCTCGTTTATCTACAAACAACTCAACTTACGATGTTCCACCAGGACCGTAACTTTACATTTTCTCTTACCTTAATCACTCCAAAAAAACATATATGCATGGGTAACTACATTTTTAATGAATTGATCATGTGATTTCTAATTCAATTTCTTATACTTAACTAATTGGAGTTAGAGTTAATTCATTAGGCCAGATTCTCGGGGTCGACTCCCGCTTTCCCGCGCCCCTTTCGTTTCGTTCCTGCGACGGTTTTATCCGACGATTAGGCCGGATTGCGGGGATACATTGTACGAGAAATAGGGCGGAAACGATGATACCTACTCGTCTCGAGACTCGCGATTAAGTCGACTGTACTGAATATAAATGATATGATAATTATGTTTGAATTTAGTTCGTCGTGTTTGTCTTTCCTCGCTAAAGCCGCGACGGTACCGCGCCGACCGATTTCCGCACTAGAACTAGAGCAACGAAAAATCCTCGAGGCTATAACCGTACAATTTCGCATCCAACGCGGATAATTCGATTAAGGAGTCGAATATTTCCCGTAACTATCAACTAGTTACGTCGAGACGAGAAGATCATGTATTTGTACCGTTAATAGCAGGTAAACGATCTTGCAAGTTCTTAACTTCACCGCGGGGATTCGCCTAATTCTACAGCGCGCGAAAGTGCATTAGCTCGAATTGTTACTGCATATGTCAATGCGAATGGCGGGCCCGCAAACCGTGCTAGCTGCGGTCGACCGCGGTCGCGTCACGCCGCCGCTTTGTTGCGGTTACCCGCCGTCCGACCGCAGGACCTCGTGTCCTCTACGTTTTGTCCTTCGAAACCGTTTAAATACGTATAGGTGTATGCAACCGCTCGCTACATGAATTTAACAGAAGATATAGGAGCTACTTCTCGACCTATATCCACCCAACCACTCTGAGGTTTAACGACAATTTCATTGAATTTTAAAAAGTATGCAATGAATAAAGCTACGCATTACCTATATTCCTAAATCCTCTATGTGACAATGTAAAGTGTATCAGAAGAGCCTCTGTGCTTGGAAAAGTTGTGCAGTTATATACGCTCAAAAACGTAATAAGACTATATTTTATGCAGGTATATGCGACGTATACAATGCATCTTTGCTCTTTGCAACCTAATCCGTAAACGCTAGCAAATGCATATCAGGTGCAACTGTGCACGTAACGAAATACTTTATTACGGAACGAGCGTATGGAGCGCCGGGCACGCAAATTGAATATAGGCAGTGGCTACAGGCACGGCCCGACTGGCTTCTTAAATTTATCGCCAACAAATTTGAATAACTAATTAGTAAAATTGCCTAGAAATTGGAAATGTGCGATTAACTAAAACTTAATAAATTCGTTGGTGTTTATTATGGCGTGTGTGTATTTATAAAATAAACCGATATCAAACGGTTGCTCGAAATAGATAATTGTCACTTCGCATTTTAAACATCCGCTTTGAAAAGAGGAAACGATCGCTTTTCTCGTACGAATTTTCAATTTATGCGGCGTAAATAAAATACGCCGCTTCGAGGAAACGAGACATAATACTGAAATGTTTATGCGAGTATAAAGAATATAAGAGGCGCACGTCTATAGAAATTATTATCTACATTTCCATATGAATTGCTTCTCGTATGTTTTATTTCTATATAAGTTTCTTCTTTTTATTACTTGTATATCTCATGGCGCATGATGAATGCAAACTATGAGGACGATTTTGCTCGGCGTAAATCCTTCCCAACGCCAACAAATTGCGTGATTATGAGGGATATAAAAAATTAATATCAGTTACTAGATTTGTCGGGAAAAATTGCCGTACAGTCCTGGCGATTCGAGCGGGTTTCGGTATCCGAAAAATGGCGAAATTTCGGAATTAACTTCAATTAAAATGCCCCCGTCGACGAATTTATGATTAAACAAATACGTTTAACGAACGAACGGCCGGGCGTATAACGCGGCTCGGCTAAGTGTACAACGTTTTTCCGCTCGGACAACGCGAATAAAAAAAATTGGAAAACGCGATTCGAGTACGAAACGCGAAATTCGAATAAAAAGCGAATCGTTTAACAACTGTTCTGGAATACAAAGTAGATCATCGGTAAATAACACCGAATTATTTATCAGTTACAGCGTTATTGGAACCGACATATGTATGTATTTATAGACCAGTTATTGCAAATCCATTTCTGATTACCTACCTTATATACAAAACATTTTTATGGCATTAACCAACATTTTAAATTTGCATATATCTACCCAACTGTATCTAATATCGCTCAATTTATTACTCAACGCGAAAAGTATAACTTGTATAGTTGAAATTATGTTATTTCCCGGGCCATTTTAAAAATCCCTCTCGATCGGACGAAAAACACTCAATGTATCTGGAAATAAACCCGGGATTCGCGCTCTCTAAAATAATCAAACAATTATTCATGTTCTGCTCTGACAGGCAATCAAAACCAAACCGTGAATTAATAATTAAACAGACAGTTATTCAACATGGGAGAGCAACATAATGATAGGTCACGTTTTGATGTACGATAAGCCTCCCTAACGTATACGAGGGTGCTCCACTAAAACGGTGATTATATTAATGATTTTATTCAAGTTTTTTTTTGTATCCAATAAAAGGTAACAGATGTTTTTTTCCCGGATTTCGATACGAGTTTATGCTGTTCTTGTATAATGATAACTTATTCGTCGATTTTTCGTGTAACAGTAATGGAATGTTCGTTCCGTGTTCGAATGAACATCGATATTTTGATGGTCGCTGAAAGATAACGTTAAAGGCCATTACGAGTAAATCACTCGTAAAAAGTAGAAAATTTCGAACGGCATTTTCCTATTTAATTCCGATAAAAGCGAATGACGCGACGTTAACAAAAAGAATAGGAAGTCGATTAGCTCTATCGTGTCCATTATCAATTTAGTCGTCCGATTTTTAATATCGATTTTCTCGTTATTTTCAGACTGAAATCGCCAAGAGACTGAACGCCATCATAGCGCAGATTTTACCATTCCTGTCGCAGGAACACCAACAACAAGTCGCGACAGCAGTGGAACGGGCCAAGCAAGTTACCATGACAGAACTCAATCAAATAATTGGGGTGAGTAATCCACATAAATTAATTTCACAAAGGGCGAACATTTCGTCGAGTACGGTCCTGTCGTCGGGCGACGATGTAAACTAGCTAAAGAAAGGCGGAAAATTTGTAGGTTCTCATCCTCGCACTCTCGAGGGTTGAGGGTTGAGAGTTGAGGTAAAGCGAGTGGATGGTTTCCTTCTTTTGTAAACCGAGCGAAGCGGCGGCGCTGCATGAATAACAAAAGAGGATATGCGAATGGGAGGCAGGGCCGTCCCCAAGGGGGGCATAACAGCTAATATTATTTTAATTGAATTGCTTAATTAATATATTAGTTAACTAAATAATTAGGTACCTACGTGTGCTAAGATTTGTGTATAATCTACCTTATTCATAATCGACTAATTTTAAAGTTATTATAGATTTTTTGGATAATAATTCGTAGTATAAATAATATGCACTAATTCTAAAACAAATCCGTTCGGTTCGGAACCGTTCAGAACCATTCAGAACCGTTCAGAGACTGTCTAGGCTTGGTGCTAAGTCATTTTAACATTCTGAACGGTTAAATAATTCCGAGACCGAATAAAATTAGTTGGTTTGATTTATTATATTATTTAAATCGAGTCGTTAATAATATTCTAAACGATGAACTCCGCCATTGCGCTTCCGCCCGACGTCGGAGGAGAAAGTTTCACGTCGCATTTTTTTTTCTCTCGTCCATTCTTCTCGGGCGAATTTAAAGAACACTCCCGAATAAAATTCGTTTCACGGTTCTCTAATACTAATCTCGAAACTCATTAACATTTCAAGAGGGATTTTCCGTTCGCCGTTTTAAATAAAATATGCAGTTTTCGGGGCGCCGATTTCTTTCTTTCCTGCGATCGCAGGAATGCCAGATTTGACTTCGGATATTCCACGCTTTGTATAAATAAAAATCGACTTTATATGTACAATTTAATCAATACATCAAAAGATCTTAAATTAAAAGTAGTATTTGCTTTGAATAATTATAAGTCTCAATCTTCTTCTTTCCGCATTAATTTTCTTATTTGTTTGGAGAATGCGGTCTAGTATAGTACTCTTTTGCAGGAATTTAGCACAATTACCTCTAATGCTCTCGGTATAAACAAATAGAGACGAAAGTAGTAAACTAACGGAACGGATAAACAAACGTGGTTTATTTGATGTTTTAAATGCGTTTTCTATTTACAATTCGTTTTTATTGTTCGGTAAGTTTGTTTTTCGTATAAAAAGCTACATGTTAGTTGTTTGAATAAATAATTTTGTATTCGGTTTCGGTATGGATTCGAAGCGCATTGTGATGTTATTGTCATTGTTAGAATGGGTACTTTGCGAATTTTTAACGAAATACACCGTATTAGTTTTTACGAGTTATTTAATAAACTTTTCGTCACTCTGTATTATATGGTTTTTCTATATTAAAAGCGGTCTAGAATTTTATTAGAGATAATAAATAAGACAATGATATATTCAGGAAATTATTTAACGTGTTTATGTTGATAATAACTTTGATTTATTGGTTACTGGTATAAAATTTAAAACAATTTTCATGTACTATTAGCATTAATAATAAACATTTTATTAACAATAGCGACTCTATTTAAGTGCTTTCAATAATAATAGACCTTCGTTTGTGTGGAATGATTCACGCTAAATTTTATCTTCATAAACCGGAACAATTACAACAAAGGCGAGCATTCTTTTGTCTGGAATAATTAGATTAACTCTAAAAGAAAATTCATCGACACCGGAGTGCATCAACACATAAACTCAGCGCGCCACTTTAACCTCAATTTTCTCTCTACCGAACGTTTTCCTCGTCTTTGTCTCGCCTTTACGAGCTGCCACCGCTACAGTAATTCCTCGTGTTGAACTTTTTACCTCGCAAGATTGATCGCCCGCAAACTCGAAGACACTAAAACCCGTTCTATTCCTCTTCTTCTGCTTCTCTACGTTTTTTTTGCAGCTCGACTTTTTGCGCTTCCTCGTTTAAGAGCTCTCTTTATTCGACTCGAGGAGTCGACGACTGTTTTAATAATTTATCCGCGGCGGTTTCGCGTGAAAAGCAGCGGCGGAATTTCGAGCGACAGCAGCGTTTTCAAAACGTCTAATTGGATTATTTAACGTTTACAAATTACATAAGCATTAAGTCGTTTTCGTTCGCATTTATTCGTTCTGCATCGATCGAGTTGGTGCGAATCGAAAGTACGAGTTAATAAGAAACGAAGCGAAAGGTTCTCAGTTAATTTTTGCGCGAACATCTCGGCTCGGATATTAATATTTTACGACTTTCATAAGTCTTATAAAAGCGAGTATAATAAACGTTTTCGAAGTGCGCCCGCACCCGAGCCGCGCTCGTAAACTTTTCACGTGGCCGTTTTTACGGCTCGCCCTTTTTATTATCTTTTTCATATATGAGGGCTCGCCGGTGCGCGACTATATACGTTTTTCATTCGAAAGATGCATGTAGGAATTCCGCACTTAATTTTATTGCTGTATTATTTCGTGTTTAGAGCGGAGTCTCATCCTCCGGAGAATTTACGTCATTCGAATCGAGCGAAAGAAGATATAACTTTTACGTTTTTCCCGTCCCTTATATACCATTTACAAGAGTGCTTCGAATGCATTAAAAATAACGTCGATTATTGTACTATACAGGGTGTTAATTAATGTTTTAAACTTATAATTTAAATGCGATTCTTAGCTTCTATGAGGATTACATCCTTTTCATAATTAATATAATTAATATAACATTAATTAACACCCTGTATACAGGAGCTCTCGCGAAGAAAACTTATTAAATGTGCGTTTATTGGCTCGACAGCAGACGTATTAAACAGAAAATAACTTTGGGTGTGAATTCGCTGAAGTTGAGCAGTCGCTTTGAAGTAGGCAAACAAAGCAAGAAAAAAAAGCGAAAATAAAAACGAAACCCCTACAGAGTGGCAAAACACTTACGGTACGTTATTTTCCGAACGTGGAAATTTCCCAATATACCGGCACGGGAAAGCGCGGGGGCCGAATCTGTGCGAGAAACCGATTCTTATTTCTCGATTTCTTTTCATTCTTTCCACCCTCTCCGACCGAGAACATCAAAGCCTTCGGTTCGCCTCCCGCCGTATTCCCCAATCGATTGAAGAGGAAAATAAGATTTCCACCATCAATCCGTATACACTCACCCTTCGGCTTTCGTACGGTCGGGGGGACGGAATGCCGCCGCCACCGACGACGACTCCACTTAATTTTCCTGTCGGGAATTGGGAGCCCTTCGCCCCGATAAAGTCCAAAGGTGATTGGAATGTTGATTAGGAAGTCGCGAAGGAAACGAGGAAATGCCGGTCCCTCGAGCGGAGTCCTTTTCCACTTTTAGTCGGAAGGGGAACAAAAAGGGAAAAATATGGCACATACCGCTCATCGAACGGAAGTTTCGTACTTACTTAACATTACAATTTCTAATACAAAATAATTCGTCGATGCGAAAAACGGGATAGAATCAGATGGAAAATCGAAGTTCCTTATTGAAATGCAAATAGTGAAAAATAGAAGGAAGTGAATAACGTATCTTTCGGTGTATACTACGAGATTTGCTATCTGGCAAACGCTGAAATTCAAATATAAATATTTCATGCGAACGGCGGAACGTCGAGTTCAATAAGAACGCCCTAAAGGAAAAGCGATAAGTAGATTGACAGCGGCGAAAATTCCGGCACGAAATGGAGGAAAAAAAAAGAAAAATCGTTCGCGGTGCGGTATAAGTAGACTTCGAACGTTTCTCCGTTCGCCATTGGTGTAGAAACCCAAGGATTCCAAAGTTAAATATCCCCCCGAAACCCGAAAGAACCAATTAAGAAAAGACGATTAAAATAACGCACCTCCTTAATTTCTCGTTAGGTGTCAATTATAGCGCCCCTACAAAAACGCCCCCTAAAACGACTCGGAATCCGAATTATCAAAATTACCATCTCGTCTCAATTCATTACTCCCACGTAGAAAACAGGGCAATAAAATCAAGCGGCTCATAACTCGCCCGGGCGCGACGGAGACGGAGCGAGAGCGCGAGAGAAACTCCCAGAACTGGAAGTAAATTACCACATCAAGTTAGCGCTGCAGACATTCCGATCACGGCTGCTATGATATTGCGTCGCCGACAAGACATGATGTAATTATGTAAAACGTCTGGACTTGGAGCTGCTACGAGTGCTGCGGAATACGACATGAAGCGAGATGTGTCGGCTCCTACAGGGTGGATTTCTATCCGATTTCAAAACCCACCAGCTCGAAGAGAAACGGGTTTGGTTAGTCCACAGTTTGAGCGATCTACCATCGTTAGTTGGAATGTATTGACTGGTTGATGTACTGAGAATATAGCCATTTAGGGTCATTAAATTGGACATTAAAATCTGTACCCTCGAGAGCTGTAGCGGAACCGAAAAGAGGGTGAGAAGAGCCAGCGTCGGTTCGAAGGGATTTCGGGAATTCACTTTGATCGTGTGGCAATTACTCGACGAACGAAACGCACACCAATATAGCATTTGATGGTTAATTAGAGGACCTCATTCCGACAATCCGGCAATCTACCAATCCCGCCGAACAATTTTCTTTGAGAGCTGCTCCTCGACCCACTTATTTACCAGATTACATTTCCTCGAGACTTTTCCGCATTTTCGCCGGCGCGGAACGGAACAATCGGAAACACTTTTAACGGAATTATTCGAAAGAGCCCATCTGGCGGCGGGCGCGGGCGGCGGGCGCCCAAAGTGGATTGCATTCGTTAAATTCCTCGGAAACGATGAGAGTAAATTTGCGCGCATCCGCCGCCCCCCGGAACTCGGTTCCGTTTGGATGCATTCAACCGTATTCGGAGCGAGATAAAATCCGCTTTCCGTGACTCGGGAAAATAAAAAGGAAAATTTACGCGATTTTGGTACACCTGGAATGTCAATAAGCGCCGGAAATTGATTGGGTTCGGGTCTCTTGCCACACTGTAGCAGTTCATTGCATTGATAAATACGAGCTTATTGCGACGATGCAAATGAAGGAATGGAGATATCAAAGAAAGTGAGAATACAGATTTTTCCAATAAAGTCGATTGTTGAAATTCTGAGCCCGTATTCCGTTTGGATTAGGGACCGGTTCGTTTGGAGAGCCATTATTCAAAAATTCTTATTGCTCGAAATGTGCAAATTGATTTCTTCTCCATTTGCCGCGCCCGCTCCCCATCGATGCTCCGTCGCCTTCCGCCTTTCGCCTTCCGCATTCGGCGCTCCCCGCTTTTCCGGCGACCCCCGCTTTTCCGGCGACCGAGCAGGATCGGGTGTAAATGCAAATTTTTTTCCCGGAGGTGGATTAGTTAAAAAAGACGAGCTGGTCGATAAAAATCGTCGGCGGTTTAATTCCGTTCGAAGGCGGATCCGATCCTGTCGCGTCGAGTTTCACCGTAATTAAATTTTTCTAGATGGAACTGAAGGCGCCTCGTCGAGCTGGAAAAGTTTACTTTATTATTATTTTTTTTTCTCTCGCCCGTATTTTACTCTACTAACGATCGTTTAATTTGGACTTGCTGCGAAATTCGCCGGCCTGGAAAACTTCCCACCGAATTACGAATATAAATAATAATCCAGTTTCGATTTCGCTACCTTCGGTACATCCCCTAAATGGAAACGGAGATTTGTCATTCGACGCCCTCCGACCCACGGTGGACTTTTAATTTAAAAGTTCGACGTCGCTCTGCCGCTCGTTCGCTCGCCCGCTCGCTCGCATCAAACGCTAATTGGATTATGATAGTCCCGTTGGTCCATTGCTTTTTATAGCGGGCATCATCTGGCAAGCCTAGAGTCCCATTCTCTCGACAAACAAAGACGCAAGGGGACACGCTGCACGATGCTACCGAATCCTAATACGGCCGGACAATATTTTATGAGTGAATGTTGATATGGTGCGTTGGATAGGGTACTGTATAAGTAAAAGAAATGTGTTGTTTTATGAAAAATGTTTTGTGAATTTGGGAGTTTTTTGGAGGGATAGAGTAAAGGTTTGGTCCATTTGGAGTGAGGATTTGGCGGTGTCGCATGGTGGGGGCTCGTTCGAACGAACAGATTAAAAATTGAGTGGCAGTTTTTGTTCTTTTCGAGTTGCCCTTTTGAATGTTATTTGCTGTTTTATAGTGCAATTATCGCGAAAACGTACAGATTTCGTCCGCATTTCCGGCTGCCTTTTTTTTGCCATCGATTTTCGTACGTCCTTTCCGATTCCTCGCCCGCTTTTTGTTCTATCGTTCCAGGTTAATAAACTCGAATTTTTTTTTGTTTCATTTCCAGCAACAGCGACCGGACCTGCCCAGGCTGTTGCAGCAAATGCACGCCCAGCAACTACCCACGCACGCCGCGCCGCCCATACCCATGATGCCGCATCCAGGTTTAGGCGGCGCCCCGCCGAGCTCGGCGGCCAGTTTGCTGGGGCTTTCTGGAGCGCTGCCTGCCCAGCACCCGCTCTCCATGTTGGCCTCCAAGCCGGACCTGCACAGGCCCGACGATGTCAAATCCAACAGCGGTAAGAACTGATTATTTTTATTAACAGAATATATCTGAACCAGATAGGCAATAACAAAAATTGTATTGGATGAATCTGGGTTTTTTCGTTTATATTAAAGTACCTATGTATAGTTGGTGCAAAACTAATATCAATTCACGTCACCTATAATTTACTACGTCACAAGTGTTGCCGAACTTTTATACAGTTTACAAAATCTAAGAATTTTCTAAAGAAGAAATTGAAAATTTAAAGTACCAATCGGATGACAACGGCAACTATGCAACTTGCCAGTCAGTGCCTACCACCCTTTTACAAGAAAATAATATTACATTTACAACAAAATCTATTTTGTGTACCTACCTATTTATTTTTAAAAGTTGGTCACAATGCTTGGCAAGTATGACGACGGTAGTGACCTGCATTAATATTTGTTTTGCATCAACAATATGATTGATGTTTGGATGGAAAATTGAGTTGGGTTTTTACGGATTGGTTGAGAACTTATTGACCAAATTTTTCTGGAGCTGTATCGATCCAATTAGTACTTGGTTGGGGATTTTTTTTTCTTATTACATTTTTGGTCGAATGGGATTGAAAATGTCTATATTTCCGATAATTTCCTCTCTTTTTTGCTTCACTTGTAACATATTTTCGAGGTGTATCGGAGTATAAAACCGGATCGCCTTTCGATAAATCACAATACTGCGTGAACCGAAGGGTGAATCGATATTATTCCGCCCCGCAGGAAATCGGTTCCGCCGCGTCAATTTCAGCAAAGAAGGAAAATTCGTTTTATTTGTTTCGTTATTTATCGTTTTGCCTTCTTGCCTATGCCATTCCGACCTATTACATATCACGGATCGAGTCGTAACGTCTTCGTATAACGCCGGGCGACTTCGCTAATTAATTTAGATTGCGACTCGAGAGCTTTGTTTTAATCTAACATCTTTATTACGTTCAGGTGCATGCAACGGCAACTGTTGCTCCGCCATGTTCGTTTAATTCACTTCGAACTTTCCTTCTACGCGTTTAATGAGGAAGAAATCCGAATGCGGAATGTTAAATCGGCGGGGTTTTCTCGCCCTAATCGCTTCGACTAATTCATCCGGTGAGATTTACCCCGTACAGGAGTAGATGTTGATTTATGAAGACGTTTTTCCAGTCGATTCCCGAAACTTGATGCATATTTTCACGCTCGTAAATATGTCGTAAAACGCGAAACGGAAGAACGCCGGGTTGGAAATTGTCATCGTTGCGAATTTTACGAGGGAGGAAAATAACGGCTTCGTACAAATTCGGCCCGGAGTTTTATCGTTCGCGAATCGCCGCACTATCGATAATAAAACTGCGGGAAATGCCCGGACGAAAAGAATACATTGATAAGTTGTTTCAATTTCGCTTGTACGTTTTTTATCGCGTCCCGGCGATTTGATTTTTCATTATTCGTTCGAGTATATTTTTTACGCGCTCCATTTTTCCACTCTCGCATTATTTTACGTCCGTTCGCTCGCCCTAATAATTGTTTTAGGTTGGGAAAATAAAGCGCGCCAATTTAATAATATCGCAATTAAAGAAAGCCGTTTCCCGGCGATCGTAAAGTCAAGTGCCGAGCGGGTTTTACAACCCGGCATTATCTCATTAATGGATTTAATTCCGCGTCGGGAAGTTTATCGCAAAGTTCTCGACCTTCGACGGAGTTATGACTTCTTATTACACATGCGAGAGCAGCGAAAAATCGACTCTGATCTAAAGTTATACGTGCTTCACCTTTAACGAAGGATCGGAGTTTCTATTAAAGAAAACGACGCCGTAAAATTAACTGTAACTTCGCTTTCCTCCGGTTCGCGTTGTAATTGTTTATTTACGCCTTCGAGATTACCAGATAATTAAGTTCGCTCGACTCTATTATTCGCACTTTGGTAAACTTGGCGTAACTACACTATCGACGGTTGTCTTATACTCTCCCAGCAATTCCAATTAGAATTTAAGGAGACGTTACTAATTAGTGTAGAAATAGAAAAAAAATGCTCAGGCCGGTCCTGTTCGGTTATAAAATTCCCCGAAGAATCCGTATGCCGCCCTTCCATCTTAAGCACTTTTTGATCTTTCTAAGAGTTCTCCGAGGTGGTGTAATAATGCAAATTCGCCCCGTCGTTCGGTCCTCGTTGATTTTCCCCTTCGCTGTCGCCGCCACCCTTTCCAGCTTATTCACCGGAAAGGGGGATCCGGCGAGTGTAAATTACCGGCGCAAATTACGTTTTTGCCTCGCGAAATGCAAACAAAATACTATAAATTAAACGACCCCGAGGAGTTTGTGTAACGCGGATTTTCCCAACGCCGGGTATCATCGAACGCGCCTGAAAGTCCTCTTCTATACGAAGCAGTACTGAAGTACTCGTAATTAATAACCCTTTTTATGACGTACAGTGGGAATATCGTATCACGGTCGATTCGCTTTCGGGGCTGAAATGGGGCTGAAACGTGTTCCCCCTTTTTCGCGGAGATGCGGATTTCGACGGAGATACGGAATAAGGGAGAAAAGGTGGCGTTATTGAAATAAACTGTCTGGAAAGAGGAATTCCAAGGGATGTATGAAATGAGGATATTTTATCCGAGGGTGTTGAATAAGATTTTCACCAAGGGGGCGAAATGTACGATACGATGCGGTGTATGATTGATTTTTTTTATAAACCGATTTTACGTATGCTTAATTGAGATGAAGTATGGAAGGGAGAGGTATTATTTTGCTTCTTTGTAAGTAACACGAAATAGATGTATAAGAAATGTGTTGTATACAGGGTGTCGCCAAAAGGTTTTGGGACATGACTACATATTTCTGAGGCGAAAATAACCTATTTGCGACACCCTTTAGATTTGTTTTTTGCCTATCAAAGCAAGCGATAAAGCTATAAAACCCGGCAAGTAGAGGTTACCGATTTGTTCACTGAGTGATTGGAGATTTTATTACTCGAGTCTCTCTTGAGTCTGTCGTTGCATAAATTAGTAAAATTGATGTATTGTACAAACGCCTGTTTAATCTAAATTCTAAAAGCCTTTTTTTGCACGTTTTATCTCAATTGTTTTCGTCTCGATTGTTTCATGTGTCTGGTTGCCGCCCGATGCCGATGCCGTTCCGCCATCGTTCTCTCCATTGTTTTCCGCCGTTTCCATGGATATTGCGCTACGTAGGTATCAACTCCGCCGAGGAGAGACACGTAAGTACCAATTGAATACGTAATTTCATTACGTTATGCCTTTTATCCGGTATCTCTGGTGCCGTTTCGTTGCGCTTCGAATCTTTTTTTTTTCGGGAGTATTTTTTTTGCTCGAAATACAGCACACCTACACAAACAATTTTTTAATTAACTGACAATAAAACGCGAACGTTCGGTTACACACGGAATAAAACCTAGAGAGAGGTATCTAAAAATCGATAGCCCCAGACCGTTCGTTTCACCGGCTCTAATACAGTGCATTATAGCCCGCGATTTTCGTAGCTACTTATTAACGTTTATCGTGAAGTTAGTAGAGTAGATGGGGGAGTTATGCGAGTGATGGCAATGGCGGCGTAGCGTCTTGTTACTTGTATAAACCGAGCACCGACCGCAGCACTGTACGTGTTTACGCCGAAACCGCAGCCGAGCACTCCGGGGCTGCGGTCCGCCTGGCAGATTGCTCGGCTGCGTTGCCGGTTTCGTGATTTTTCGGCCATAAAACCCCGAGGAACTATCCGGAAAACTTTCAACTTTTAAACCCAACAATCGCCTGTTCACTTTAACCTACCTCGCTTAATTGTTTCCTAATGAGAAGAAATAGCTGAACCACTTTTGAATTTGAGCGGAAAAGAATTGTGCCATCATATTGCGTGATGGAAAGGCGCAATTAGTCAGTTCGGATCCGGAATGAATTCAAGACAGCATTAAAATTAATATCTCCGTCCGGAAGAAATTACCCGGAGACAAGATTATAAAAAGAAACATAACCGTAAATCATTCGGCGAAGTGGAGGAACTTTTTAAAAAGGAACGCGGAAAATTCCTTCCGCGAAACAACGGCGTAGAATGGGGCGAGTTCCGTTTCGTTTTCCGTGCGGTTAAATCACTATCTTCGCTCGCAAATTGGAGCGAAGGTTCTCGCGGGGTGAAAAATTATTGTTTGGCGCCCGGCACTGCGTTCCGTAACTCGGAAGAAATCGCTTCGGATTTAGCCCGTAAATTAGGGGAAAATGGGGTAGGGAAAAAAAGTAAGCGAAGGAGAAAAGGTCGCTTCCATTACTCAAAGCGCAGCGAGTTTTCGAGCGAATTACTTTATTAATTTTCGCAAGGAGAACTGAATTATTAATAGGTGATTATTTTTCTTCGGCGATTCGGAAAATTCGTTTTCGAAGATTAGAAAAGGGTGAGCAACAATCGTTAACTTAACGAACAAACAAGAAAAAAGTTTTTTTTCGCTGATTTGCTTTCTCGATGTTTTTAGTTAACGAGTTTTTTTTGCGAAAAAGTTGTTACGAAACTGATGTGTTTTTTTCATAAATTCGGCAACGTGGTTGCTCAAAAATACATTAGATGTACCCAATAGAATTTAATAAACTTAGATAATGATAGATAAATGTACCCAAGTCGGCGTATTTATATCCTTTTGAACTCTTATCTATAGCAATACTTCACATTCTCACCCCAATGACTCTACTTGACGTTTCCAGCACGTCCCATAAGGGAGATTTATCGCCCCTCAGAATGCGGGAAATTATGAGGTGTTGATAATTTACGAGACAAAGGCGGAATTGTTTACAAGTATTTTACCTACTCTCAATTACTACCATCTGATGTACTCGAACGCGCAGTTGCCGAATCAAACGGGATTTTGTGGGGAATTTTTTCTGCGATTTCCCGTGGAGAAAAGGAGCGTCGGCAACGCCGTTTATACGGGAAAAGGAGTGACGGAAAGGGACGGAGGGATCGCGAGCACTCGTGCATGTATCACGCGAATGCACTTTCCTTCAACTTTGTGCTGTTACATCAAATATTTATGCTTCGTCGGAGCTTTTATGTCCCGAGGAGATTTTTATGCTCGAAAATTTACGGCCGGAATGAAAGTCGAGTTATGCTATTAATTCCGGATGAGGGCCGGCTCTCGTTCCGTCTCTGTTTCGCCATTTCACACTGGAAAAACGAGCCGAAATTAATTCGTTCGTTTCGAGATTTTTTTCTCCATGTATACCAACGAATCTTTTCCTCGAAAAAACTTGTTTACTCTACTCGAAACCCGAGCTTTCGGAAGCGAGATGATTGTGATAAAAAAACACACACTCAGTCGCGAATATTCTAGTAATTGCGAACGGCAAAAACGCGTGGGGAAATTTATGGAAAGTGCGGAAGGGCAAGAAACGCATTTATGTAAATGAGAGCCGCTCGTAAAATGAATAATGATTCGGGGGAAACGTCGAGACTTATTCGATGCATTCGCGCGCTAAATTAGCGAATTAAGAAATAAAAAGCGAGCAGGGGGCCGGAAAATTCATTCGGAAAGTTAATCGGCGATTTTTCGAAGTTTTAATTAAAAGAAAACGCTAAAATAGGAAAAATTCTCGTACATAATCAGAAAACCTTCAAATCATTCTGGAAGTTTCGTAGTTTTTTTTTGCATATTTATTAGATTTTCGGGTTCTACTCTCTTCTCTCAACTCACTATTTTCTCATAGCTAAACTTACGCGAAACAAAAAATTGATTACAAACAACCCCAGCACAGTATACTGATTCCAAAGCGGCATCTCCCCCATTGTTCGTCGCCTAATTAATCGATCATCAATTAAGAAAAAAAAAATAATCGTGCAACGGCACAAACAACCGTTTCCGCGGGCGCCGCGCGCTCTCCTCGCCGAGCAGCCATCCATCACGAGCAATAACGACGCAATTAAATATTCGTCTCCATTAACATCTCGCCGATTACCCGCCGAGTCGGGTTAATTAAATGTGTGACTTCCTCCGGCGGCCTTCGACAGAGGGATCGAGCGCCTCTCTCTTGCTCTACGCGGGTCTCTCGGTTCTCTGCGAGCGGTGGCGTTTTAATTACGTTTTCGTCGTGCTCGCGGCTGCACGAGACGTCGTGCTCATCCCCCGATCCCTTTATAAGCCTTATTATTATTATACAGGGTGCGCTTTTCGAGCCGCATTCCTCAAATCACCCCTCTGAGTTGTATTCGAAATCTACAAGCAAAAAGGAGCCCTTCATTTTAATAATACAATCTTGCACTGATCAGTTAGTTCTACCGTGTTGGAAAATTTTTCGCGCATAATAGGGAAATCAATGTTAAATTCTTAGCCGGCTGAAATCCAATCTACCAGTGTACATTTCAATAGAACGTCGCGATCAATTCTAATAAATTTAATTGTTCTACTGGACTTCACACCGCGCTTTGGCTTGGTTAGATTAAAAATCAAATAATTTCGACGGTTTCAACACTTCGACAGTATCAAAACGGGTTCGGATGGGTGAACGTCGAGTCGATTACAAAGAATTGAGAATTTTTAAACGATAATTTATTGAAAAAATATCACTAATATTAAAATAGAATTATGTAGATATGTCTTTTTGCCACAATGGCTTGAAAAAGAAAGTAAATTCTAAGAAAATAATAAAAAGAATACTCCAAAAATAAACTTAAAGATTATTTTAAAATAGAAAATAAAAGAACTCTAAAAAATAGTCCACCGCTTTCTGCTAAACAATAGCCAAACCTGTCATACAGATGTCATCTCATATTACTGAGCTGAGGTGTAATTTTAAGAAAATTGAATTATTTTTTCCTTATTTTTCCTTATTTTAACAAGATTTGTTGCTATTTCAAAACTGTACCTACCGATACACACATTTTTTTGAAATATCCCCAAAAAACCTATTAATTGTAGTTTCTAAATAATTTTGTACCTCATACCTAACACAAATAACTTTGTACCTCTACAAATCGCGGCGTGCGGTCCAGTAGAAACAATTAAATTTATTAGAATTGATCGCGACGTTCTATTGAAATGTACACTGGTAGATTGGATTTCAGCCGGCTAAGAATTTAACATTGATTTCCCTATTATGCGCGAAAAATTTTCCAACACTGTATATGAAATTTCATCCAGCTTAAATTTTTATTACAAATTTTGAAACACGCTTTATAGGGAAAAATATTTTCTCTCTTTACTGGAGTGTCGTATGCAAGAAAAATATGTATATAATCTAAGCACTTAAATAGGGATTTGTGGATAATCCTGGAGTATAACGTATCACTCTGTATGCATTAAGGATGTGTTACTTTTAGTTTCTAGTAAATCTCCCTGTTGGAAGTAGGTGTCAAACTTCGCGGGTCGCATGAATTTAATATGGGATTTTAAAAGGCGACGCCGAGGCGTCGCCGTCGGAGCGCTTTTAATCGAAATAAAACATGCATTTTTCGTTTAGCGTTATTGTTGAAATTTTAAAAAGCGCTACGATATTATTACGTCGAATAAAAATTTCATGGAACGCTCTGCCTATATATCCGGGCGCCGACACATGTTACTGTTTACATAAAATTCGATGAAAATTTGATGAAAATTTCGGAGCGCCGAGCGCGTCATATAAAATGCACTCTCGTTCATTAATGCGATTACTATTTAATACGGATGAATTTTTATTTATTAAAAAAAATCCTGTGTATCCGCTGATATAGTTGAAATGCGGAATATTTAAATATATTGACATTGTTGTTAATGGATTTTTTTTTTTCGTCGAAATTCGTTGTTTGCGCAACGTCTGCCATGTTAAATGGATATTGAAGTAAATATTTGCCGTAAAAATACCCATATCGAATGGTAGTGGACTGTAATTTCTAGATAGCGTTCTGTTTAAATAATTACCCTTCCGCACGTGCAATTTCCGCCCGATTACGTGCAACAAAATGAAGACAAACTACCAATACGTTCTCATCAATGAATTTTTAAAACGTCTACAAACAGACTGTATATTATTAACAGAAAAAAAAAACAAGTGTACAGGGTGTTTCACAACTTATCCGACAAATTTTAACCACATAGGCAGTGTTACGAGAGAAGTTAATTTCCCAAAAAAAAAAATGTAATAAAAGTCTTACAGAAATCGAGATAATAAAATAATAGTTTAACAGTTCAATTACTTATACAAGATGTATAAAATTGTTCCCATTTACTGCAATGCAAGCTTGGGTGCTTGGTTTTTTGTTTTAACCATTGTTTTGGTGCAAAATTTGCTACAGTAAAGTATTAAGGCAAAATTATGAACGCAAAATGCAGTATTTATTTTTCAATTTTTTATTGAAAATCGGGTTTATAATTTTATTTCTGTAGTACTTTTATTACATATTTTTTGAGATTTCTTAAAGAGAAAGAAGTTGATTTCTCAAAAAAATGTAATAAAAGTCCTACAGAAATAAAATTATAAACCCGAGTTTCAATAAAAAATTAAAAAATAAATACTGCATTTTGCGTTTCATAATTTTGCCTTAATACTTTACTGTAGCAAATGTTGCACCAAAACAATGGTTAAAAGCACCCAAGCTTGCATTGCAGTAAATGGGAACAATTTTGAACATCTTACGTATAAGTAATTGAACTGTTAAACTATTATTTTATTATCTCGATCTCTGTAAGACTTTTATTACATTTTTTTTGGGAAATTAACTTCTCTCGTAACAGTGCATATGTGGTTAAAATTTGTCGGATAAGTTGTGAAACACCCTGTATAAGGTACATATTTATAAAATCATGTTACGCTGTAGATAACACTGTCAACGACACACCATTCAATTTTACGAAACACCCCGGTTTTTACCGCCCTATTCATTAGCATCCCCCGGTAACCTACATACGTCCGTAGGCGAAAGCGCGTTTCAATTTCGCCGACCCTTATCAGTCAAATTCGCGGAGGGTTCGAAGGCGCAAAAAGGGATCGCGAAACCGTAATAAGGGATGACAAATCACGAATCGGTTTACGCGCGGTAACTATTTCCGAGATTACGGCACGCACCACGTATATATACCAGTCTCCGGCGGGATTAAACTTAGCGCCCCGAAACATCGATTCCGGCGGGCGTTATCTCTCGCGACCTGTCTATTACCGGGCATTAAAACGTAATTTCGACGCGAACGGGGGTGTTTTATAATCCTTGTGACGTCGGGGGCGTTGAGATCATTTTCGAGCTGCTATACCGCGATCGTACATTTTTTATTATTCCATGAGACTTGTATAAGCGAAGAGCGCTTTATTTAAATTTAAATTATCGACAATTTATTCCGGAAGTTTTCATCTACAGTGTTAGAAAATTTTTCGCGCATAATAGGGAAATCAATGTTAAATTCTTAGCCGGCTGAAATCCAATCTACCAGTGTACATTTCAATAGAACGTCGCGATGAATTCTAATAAATTTAATTGTTCTACTGGACCGCACGCCGCGATTTGTAGAGGTACAAAGTTATTTGTGTTAGGTATGAGGTACAAAATTATTTAGAAACTACAATTAATAGGTTTTTTGGGGATATTTAAAAAAAATGTGTGTATCGGTAGGTACAGTTTTGAAATAGCAACAAATCTTGTTAAAATAAGGAAAAATAAGGAAAAAATAATTCAATTTTCTTAAAATTACACCTCAGCTCAGTAATATGAGATGACATCTGGTATGACAGGTTTGGCTATTGTTTATCAGAAAGCGGTGGACTATTTTTTAGAGTTCTTTTATTTTCTATTTTAAAATAATCTTTAAGTTTATTTTTGGAGTATTCTTTTTATTATTTTCTTAGAATTTACTTTCTTTTTCAAGCCATTGTGGCAAAAAGACATATCTACATAATTCTATTTTATTATTAGTGATATTTTTTCAATAAATTATCGTTTAAAAATTCTCAATTCTTTGTAATCGACTCGACGTTCACCCATCCGAACCCGTTTTGATACTGTCGAAGTGTTGAAACCGTCGAAATTATTTGATTTTTAATCTAACCAAGCCAAAGCGCGGTGTGAAGTCCAGTAGAACAATTAAATTTATTAGAATTGATCGCGACGTTCTATTGAAATGTACACTGGTAGATTGGATTTCAGCCGGCTAAGAATTTAACATTGATTTCCCTATTATGCGCGAAAAATTTTCCAACACGGTATATACCGGTGGAAAAAATCGAATTATTAAAACACCTCGCGCCCCGAAAACCCGCATTTAAACGAACTCGTAAGTACACATGAATCGTGTCGGAAGTCGGGAGTGTTCTTAATTTAATTAACTCTGAATTACGGTTGGTTTCGCTGCGAAGAAGACGGGAAGGTTTCGCGAAATTTAATTTGGGTAACTTAGTATTGTCGTCCTCTTTGCGCGCCCCTTTCGCTTCCCCTCGACGTCGAGGGGACAACGACTGTTTGTTTTAACGTAGTTTCGGTACGTTCGGTAAGTTAGTAAGCGAGAAGATTTTTGAATTAACGCGCTAATTCGGAAACAATGGATGAAATTGTTTGCCCCCTATGCAGCGGCGGTAAAACGCGGAAAAGCCGTTTCGAATTGGCGTGCTTTCGCAACGTTTTCCGTCTTACGAACGCGAAACCCTCGCACCTCGACTACGGCTTTTTAAAGCTTTTAACGTCGACCGAAAAGCCGAATATTCCGTTTAATGTAGCATTCAACGTTCGTTGATCAAAGCCCTCTTTGTGAGTCGTCGGATCTAGTTGGCTTTGTGTGTTTTTTTTTTCATCCTTCGAATGGCATTCGTACACCTATTAAAAGCCGTTCAGAGAAGAGAGATAGGGAAAAACCTACTACTGTTTTTTAAATGTCTTTCTTTAGCGCGTTTACTTCATCAAAAATCTAATGAATTTTTAACAATCTATTACGCGATATTTTTTCTATAGCACAATAATCGGTTAATAAAAATTATGAACAGGGGACATTAAGTTGCTTCGCATAGTGTTATTCGCAGGGTCGATTGTAATTACAGGCGACGAAACAGCGTCCCGCTCTCTATAATGTAATTCCATCGATTCCCCGACGTGCTCCGTACGGTGTAGTCGGTGCGCTAGATGACAAAAGCCGCGATCGATGTGTTATTACACTCGTTATAAATGCCCGCGGTGCAAATTCGTTCGTTTATTATGCGGCCGGTGTAAATGCCCTAATTGCCCGGCTGTTTGTTGTTCGGGTTCGGTTAGTGGGCGTCGAGGCGGCGCAAATGCCCCTATATATTCGCATATAGTTGATGTAATATCTCGCAATGGTCCATCTGCTTGAAGCTCCTTAATTGTTATTTATACAGGGTGTTTTTTTTTCGTGTGCGGTTCCTTTGTGTAGTGAGCTTCAAAAAGCCCCGAAAATCTAAACTGATTAGATCCCGAAAAGCCTTATTCTCCTTTCGATTTTTCAAAGATGATTCAATTACGTTCAGTCGCTACTCGAAAGGTCGCCATTCATTCTAATTTCGAACAGGGCGAATTTTCCCGGCGCGTCGAAATCGAGAGGGACTTTGAATTGATATTAAGATGAATTAGCTCCTCGGTTCGCGAATAAGGGTGGCATTCACTCGACGTATACGTCGAGGGTGTAGTGATTTCGATTGTGATCGCGTGATTAGATGCTACCAGAAAACCTTTCTGATATACAGTCAATGCGGCGTATCTTATATCTTATCCGTTACGTCATCATTTATATTCATTGAATTAACTATATACACTCGGGTTTTACAATTTTATGTTCGTGATTTTTGCGTTTTCATCCTGTAAGAGTGTCGCCGGGTTATTAGAAAAACCAATTAATAAAACTCATCTGGAAATTAATCCGGAGGGATCTGGTTCGGACGGCGTTTTCCAAAGCATCAGTCGAAATGGTACAAACCTTCGGATTACGGGATAAAAGCCGTCGCTCGAATGAAAAGAAAGCCCAAACGAGCCGGTGGATTTTCCGCCCTGTCGACTCTTCGACTCGTTAATTAATTTTTAAAAATCCGATTATAGTGCATTAGCGATTAAAGTGGCGGCCCTTATTTTATGCCGGAGTTACCGGAAGAAAATTCCAATCTTTTTTTAGATTCTCGAATCGAAATTTTCGTTTCATCATTAGGAAAAACATGTGTTAACGACGCCCAACAAAGCGCATCGTAATCTATTAAATACTATTTTGATATCACCACGAAAGATTTTTTTGTTGGCTCTTTACCAAACCGAAACCATTGCCAAAAACCTCTTCGCATAAATTCAACAATTTGTCTTCATTAAAAATTCATTCTCACAAACCTATTTAACCGATAATTCCATACCAATTTCCATACAACAAGCGCATTATTATGTCAGAAGACACCGTTTCGAATCGACCCCTCACACATCAACCATTAGCACGGAATCAATTCGTTTTAGTCGACACCTATATCTACCCTTGAAATGCTTATTACACCCTCTAAAAAACCATCATCCCTGTACCGGCAAAAAACGCGCCAGCGCCTCTCTCCCGTATCTTCGGCAAGCCGTTTGATCTAATAGGGAAAAAGCGGAGCCGTAAAATCGACGGGGTCGGAAGAAGATGCCGGAGGGTAGAACACCCTCGAGACGCGACCCGACAGCTACAAGAGGGAGAGGGCGAGGAAAAGTCGTCGCACAATAAATTCCCCATTCGATGTCGCTTAAGGGGTCCGTAATTTATACGCGACGATTTCGAGTGGTGTGTATATAGCGTGTATCCGAATAGGGGTTGAAGGTTAGTTTTTTTTTTTGGTCAATTGGGTTATTGTGTTTTGTTGTACATACCTACAAAAAATCGCGAGAGTGGTGTTTCGTGAACTTTAGTCACTACTAAACCGACTATATTTTTCCCACACTAAAACCCCATTACATCTAATTAAGAGACGTAAAAAAAAGCTCAGAAACGTAATTAACCGATCCCGACTCAACGCCAGAAACCGCTCGAGTGCGGAGCAGTCTCGAGCTCGGAGCGGCGCGCAAGTTCGGTTAATTGGACTAATTACCGCCGGTAATTATTCTCGCAGTGGCGTGGCGAACGTCCTAATTTCGAGCACTTGTTGAAACCCGCTTCACCTAATTGCGTCGATAGCCATCGTGTGTAACGGGTATACGAACGTGTGGCAACCGGAGTCTCCGGGACTCGACTTGAAGATGAGTTGATAAACTCTATAGATACTTTGTAATGCGGTTTATATAAATTTTAGTTTGTTAATTAGAAAATAAAACGGCACCAATTTTTTGTAAAATTTGTTGTATTTCAATAAAAGCGTTTTGTTTCAGGTAAGTCACAAATCTTCATCGAGTTCACATCGAGTAAGTTCCGCATTCCGATCAAATTTCCCATTTCATTTGCCCGTCGACGTACCGTTAACGAATTTTCCCGTTTTCCGGCGAGCGCGCCCCTAAAAAACTTTTTCCCTAAATAAAATAGCAGCTGTTTCACTCGTTATACACCGTGATAATGCGAACGCCGTCGAGTGGAGGGTTGGGAAAAAAAGGAAACGGGGAGGCGGCGGCGGCGGCGGCGGCGGCGGTGCTGCTGCCTTTTATCCTGCCGGGAGATTTGCGGCGGTTTTATTTTCTCGGAGGGTTCGAATACGGCACAATAAAACCAAACCCCTCTCGCACTTTGTTCTCTCATTCCAGGACCGCATTCCACCCGTCGCGGGCGCGGGATTTTTTATCCTTTTGTTACCTGAAGAGGGCGGTTTTATCAAAAATTTTCCTCATTTTCTTCCAAAATTTCACCGTACTACGTATAATTTCCATCAAGTATGATTTGATTTTCCCATTATTTCGCTTCGCTCCATCAACTCGGTGGATTTTTCCAGGCAAATTTCCTTCTATTAACAGCTCGCTGAAATCCGGAAAACCGGAAAAACTGACTGCGCGGCATATATACTCGGCGTTTTCATCGCGGCCCGACGGGCGTAATATTTTTCCATTCGCCCCCTTGTCTGAATCTAATCCATTTAACGGCCGTATTCTCTGCCGGCTTTTTCGGCCTGTCAGAGGCGGTTAATGCCCCGTTTTATTTTCGTCTCCCGCCCACGACGTTTCCAAATAGATTTAGCCCTCGGCGCATAAATTCGCAACGCCCTGTACCGACGGTATTTACGCTAAGTTAGACCAAGAAATCAATAGAAAAGCATATCCACCGGAACGATTAAAACTTTAACCGGCCTTTATCCGTCCGAAACAAAAGGGGAAAATCAATCAACGCGACGCTAAAGAGACGCTAAAGCGACTGCATTTTCATTAAAACGAACGAAAAAGAGACAAAAACCAATTAGAATGGGGGCGAATTCTAAGGACTTGCGGTAGATAGCGGAATTAAGAAAATTCAATTTAAGTTAATACAGTTCGGTAGATTTGGAATTTGTAAGGAAAACGAGAAGATTACCGAGCGGGAAGTTATAGTAAGGTGTGGTTAATCACTACAGCAGGATCTACCCTTCGCGTAATAAGGGCGGAAAAATCGTCCACAAAAGAAATTCTATCTTCTTATAAGTATTCTTAAAAGTTTCAATCATCGCTTAAAAGCGAAGATAATAGTGACACTTTAAGAGCCGAAAGGGGCGAAGGAAAGAGCCAATATTAATTATTCAATGACCCCGAATCGAAAAGTGATTTGCGCAAGCGAGGGTTCTGTTTATGTGGCGCTGCCGATCTCTTAATCTCCCCCCAATTACCCCGGGCATGTTCTACCTCCTCCGGTCGACGTCGGTCGCCGCCTCGCCCTTGTTTGTCACCCCTCGGGGCAGTCGCCGCCCGCTGCGATTCCGGTCCAGGGGCGGCACGAGATCGTTTCAACTACACGCGAAAGGGTTGAATTAAATTTTGTTTATTTTCGTAAAAAAAATATTCTATTTTGCGTCGGATTTTGACCCAAAATTATCATGTCGATGTTGATTGTAATCATCGCGATATTAAACATTAATTACCACATTGCATAAATCAGCAGTTTGTATTTATGCATTCATTGACCCGATACGCAATATCACAATGTTGTTATATAATTTAAAAACAAATAAATCGATTGTTTCCATTCATGCATCGCAGTGTTTAAATACCACGGTCTCACGACCTTTTTTCGCATTCAAAAATCATTTAACCCGAACCTTTGTCGTTAACATTAAATTGCGAGCGAAACGGTAACAATTAACGCTCCCTAAAATCAAAAATTCGAGAGGGATTTACCATTTATCGCGTTGCACCCGTATCACCGTCAACAATAGAAATGAAATTATGTTTACTAATAAAGCAAAGTACAAAACACTATACTGTAAATAAGTACAGTACAAAAATTCTTTCACGGGATACTTAAATAGTTCACAGAAATTCCTTTGCCGAGTAGGTAAATAACTTTCGCAATAACCGGCATGCACTCAGTCCGCAACCTTTTCCAGCTCTATAATTGTTTTTGCAGTTGATTAGCCGCTCTTTCGTTGCGATTACATAAAATATAGAACAAACAATCCGGATGATAGGGCTGCGAGTACGCGAATTATCCCGACGTTTTCGGAATTCGGCGCGCAAATTGAGCGGTTTCAGTTTCAAGTTCTACAAACAACGCAAACCTAAGTGTAAATGTTTCGACTAAGTTTTAATTGAGGAAGCTAGAGCTCAAAAGCGGTCGGCGCGCTGGCGCTCGTGCTTAAAAGACGGTCTTTTTAGAGCCGGAGATCTATTAATGAGCAGTGCCGGATGTGTGGGTAATGAGAGTATATTTTGAAATCGATTCAAAATTGGTGTAATGCTAGTATAGAGATGGTATAAAAAATTAACCGATTCGGAACTGAAAGATTTAAATTGTTAATCATATGGTAGGCGGAATTAACCGAAAACATTAGGGACTCTGAATAACATAATGTCTGTGCACGTTAATGCACGGAATAATAAATAACCGGATTTGCATTCTAAATTGCAATAATTTTAATGATGGAAAATAAATTAGGCGATCGATTTACCGACCGTGAACAATTTAGTGGTTATTACTCGAATATTATGAGTTCTCGTTGTGTTTGTTAGAATATCGAGTTTATTAAAATAAAATTACTAACTAATTATTTCCGTTAGAGTTAATATTATCGAAATGAAAGTTATTATTCTCTACATCGGGCAAATTCATTTGTAAAACCCAATTAAAATTAACACAACAGTCCAATTAATTTTTCGAAATTAACAACACAACAAAAAAAAACCCGATTAATATCTAATTTAATCAACCGGAAAAGGTCGTCATGAAACGCAACTAGAACAATAACAATTAACCTCACGACCCTTCCGGCAAAGGCGAACGAAACGTTCGGCATGGCGGAAATCGGATAGAAACAATTAAAACCCCGTTCCGACATAATGGATTCCGATGTGACGAACTATAAACAGAAAACGAAAGAAACGTACAAGAAAACAATGAGAGCCGGGTATCATCAAAGCCGACAGTCAATTAATCGACGAAACCGCCATTCCCTTTCCCTGTCGGCATTAAACCAACAAAGAAAGACCCGGAGAGAATGTGCTGTTAATAATCCGGCAAAATGATCCGGAATAAAGCGACAGAAACGGACTTTCGCCCGGGACTAAACGGATTACACCCATAACCAACTAATATACTAAAAGATGATAATGATGAAGTTTCATAATAATAATTGAATAAATTATAATCGGAAATTAAAATGGATGATCCAATATAGGGTGGTGTTTGTACGAAACCCGTCGCCTCGTTAGAAACAAGAATTGAAGAAAGTTAATTTCCTCTTGGCGCGTAATCGATTCCAGCAATTTTCCGGTAACGTTATTTTATTTCGCAACTAATTTATTAGATCCGGGCGCGTCGGGACGCAGTCCATCTCTGGAAGGAAGCGCGAGAGCGCGGCCGGAAAGCGGGCGAAAGAAAATGGAAATGGAAAGCCTCGGGAGTTTTACAATCCGTCTCGGCGTGTTCCGAGCAATTTCTTCCGGCTCGAACTAGCGACTCGATGAAGCTTTTATTTCCTCCGGGGAATTTGTCCGAGTCGAGAAATGAAACTATACGGAACCGAAACACGTATTTTGTCACCAGCATGTCGGAGTCTAGGAAAAAAATAAAAGAGCAATTTCCCGCGCTATATCGAGACTCGCTCTCGCTCTTTTCCGACGCCGCGCTTTTCCTTTGCTTCGTCTCTATCGTCTACGCTTTTGTTTCTGGCGGAGTTGTCGCTACAAAACGGAAATAAATGAGGTTTATTGTGCGGAAGAAAGTTCACGTGACGACATCTGGTTTTGAAACCGACTTTGGGCTAATACACTTTTCTCCACGTCCTTTCCACGCAATTAGAAACGATCCAAACGCTTTATTGGTACCGCAAAATCACGATAAATAAATACCTCCAGAAATATTCGCTAGATATACAAGGGGTACATCTCCAAATCATGGCGGGGTGAAAATTTAACGGCCGGTCACTGTTCGAGTAATGTTAATCAACGCTTTGATTAACGTGCGGTGAGGGCTCAATCCGCGCAATAGTCGAGACATTAATATAAAGGGACGGACGAACGCCGCACACCGGCCGTAAAACCGTAGCGTAAGTACACCGGAGCATAAGTACGAACGGAACGTGCATGGAAATTGCATTTCTGCGAATGAGATACTTCGATTTTCATTACTTCAGCCAATCTAATATATCACACCCAAACGTACAATTTACTAAATTATTATATTAGCGGTAATTTTTGCACGGATATAACAAATAGTGCATTATGGTTGGCTCTTTGGAAATATTTCGTCGTCAAAACAGCAATTTTGCAATACAGATTCTGGTCGGTTTGTTTGCCTGTCGATGCAGATGCGCTAGATAGGCGGTGATATATGAAATTTCCAAATTGAAAATTGCCCTGCCGGCGCAGTTAAAGTGAATTAGGGGTAGCTTAGATACGCGAAAATTCGGATTATTGGGCTATTATTTCGCCGATTCGATTCGATGGTAAATATACCGTGAGCGCAGGAAATGTAACCGAATATATCCATTAAGTAGATTGTTCGCATATTCCGCCACTGGTGGAATTTACGACAGGTATCTGGGAATAAGACGTCGCGGATCTCCCTCGTAAATTACGTCTTTTCGGCCTATATTATCGATACATTCTCGCGTACGTTCGGCCGTTTCGCATACACCGAACCGTGTAGTTTTATTTTACGATGATTTAAGAAGACACATGTCGCTGCTGGATCGCGTTGGAAGACGTTTTCCACTCGCGAAAGCGCACATACAGTCGTCGTTTTTCGAGTATTTCTCGTGACGGGGATGCTTTATTTCAATCGATGGTTAGGAAAGAGCGCGTTATAAAATTTTTGCGGTTGAATAACACACGAATTTGAACCAGGTGTTTTGTTCTTGGCATTCTCTTTGCGTTGCATGAACAGCGTTGACTCAGCATTAACAAAGGCCTAACAAAAAAAAAACTTGAACGACTTTCGGATGTACAAGCTCATTTTTTGATGGTTTGTTTTTTTTGTTTGCAGAGAAATTCGATATCGCCGGCGGAAAAATACAGACCGAGGACACCGCAAGAGCCTGAATTAAAGAAACCGAAAAAAGAAGAAAAAGACCTCGGCCACGTAAGTATTAAAGTACGTAGCTTTTAACACTACTAAATATCGATGTCGTTTGTTTTTTTACTAATAATTTAATATTCTGGGAAGGTGTAAAAATAACGTAATTTGCATTTACCGAATCTGAAACCCGAATCTCCCTATAATTAATCATCATTATATTACAACATTCCTTATTAGTATTTGTAGTTTCCATCATCATCGTTATCGTTGCACTTTATCGCCCGCGTCCACTAATAAAACACGTACGAAGAAAAAAAAAATCCGGTCGGTTTAGTAGGAATCCGTGCCGACCATTCTGGAACACGAACGAGACAAGCACGAAACACGCAACTGATTTGCGATACGGGCGAGATAAAGTCTCCGAGTCTCCGTGGGGGCCTCTCCTCTTTTTCATGATACTCGAGACCCGAGACGGTGAGTCTCCCGGGGCTCGAACGTAGGCTACTTTGCGACAACTACGGTCTATTTACCATATAATGGGCCCGTTCGCGGTGTCGCTTGATATCTTGATATCACGCCACGCTCGTAAATCCGCTTCCCCGTTGGTCGCCCGCCAGAAGGATTCGAATAAAGTTTCCTCGGCGACCGCGCGAATTCTTTTTTTACCACTCCAAAGCTGATTTCAATCGCCTTGAACCCGGTTAAATCTCGAATAGAATCGATTTCCTTCATAATACATGTGGCCTATTCTATAATACCTACTATACTTCATCCATCTAACCAACAGAATAACTAAAACAAGATTGAACGCTGGATCAACGCGTGATCACCAGTGATTGGGCAGCGTAAGGAGGCTTTTTTATTTTACCCAATAGATGCAAATGTGGTTGATGATCACGCGTCTACCTAACCTTGTTTTGATTACTCCGTTGGTTGGATGGATGAAGTTTAGTTATCAATTCGAAGTAGTAGTAGTGTAGTTAAATACCAACAAAAAAACATTCTCGAGTTCTATTTTTCTCGTTAATTTCCAGCACAGCGACGGCGAGAAGAGCGACCAAGACCTGGTGGTGGACGACGCCTCGGAGGATCCGGTATCGCCTCCCAACGGCACCACGTCCCCCAGGGAGAACGGCATCGACAAACTGCCTAAGAAGGAGCACCCCGGTCCGCACAGCCCCAGGTCCGGCACGTCCAGCAACGCCTCCACGCCGTCGACGAAGAAGCTCGAGGAGAAGCCGACGACGCCCATCTCGAAGTCGGTGACGCCGACGTCGGCGGCCGGATCGTCGTCGGGCAGCGCCTCCGGCGGCTTGAAGCCCATCAAGCAGCAAGGATTGGGCCAGTACCCGCCTTACATGGCCATGTCGAACGGTAAACGTTGCTTTCATCCCGCTTTTTTACCAATTTTGTGATGCAATTCTAATGTAGGTGGCGCCCCGCACGACTTACAAGCGGCGGGGAACTACGCGGGTCTGCACAATAACATCCCGCCGGCGTTGGGCAATTATCCCAGACCGCCGTTGCAAGTGGGTTACGATCCGCATTCCCAGATGAGGGCTCCTATAGTACCAACCCTAGCCGCTATTCCCGGCGGTAAACCGTAAGTACCAATACCAAAGTTTTTGTGCGAAAGATGTTTAATTTTTAATTTCTTCAAGGGCGTATTCCTTTCACGTGAGCGCCGACGGTCAAATGCAACCGGTACCGTTCCCGCACGACGCCCTAGTGGGTCCCGGGATCCCCCGGCACGCCCGGCAAATCAACACGCTGAGCCACGGCGAGGTCGTTTGCGCCGTGACGATTTCCAACCCCACCAAGTACGTGTATACGGGCGGCAAGGGGTGCGTCAAGGTGTGGGACATCAGCCAGCCGGGGTCGAAGAGCCCCGTATCGCAGCTGGACTGCCTGGTGAGTTGTGGATTCTGGTTTGCGAAATGACTCGATTGGTAATAGACTCGCTTTCAGCAACGAGACAACTACATTAGATCTGTGAAGCTCCTGCCCGACGGGCGGACGTTGATCGTGGGCGGCGAGGCGAGCAATTTGTCGATATGGGATTTGGCCAGTCCGACGCCTCGCATCAAGGCCGAGTTGACTTCTAGCGCTCCGGCTTGTTACGCTTTGGCTATTAGCCCCGATTCGAAAGTGTGCTTCAGTTGTTGTTCAGACGGTACTAGAATTAACCGGTTATCTTCTAATAAAGTATCTCTAATTGTCGAATTTTGTAGGTAATATAGCCGTGTGGGATTTACACAATCAAACACTCGTCAGGCAATTCCAAGGCCACACCGACGGCGCTTCTTGTATAGATATCTCCTCGGAAGGCACGAAATTGTGGACGGGCGGTTTGGATAACACGGTGAGGAGTTGGGATCTCCGGGAAGGCAGACAATTACAACAGCACGACTTCAGGTTGGTTACAACCAACTCCATTAATAACCCTTACTAATTGGTTCGGAAAATTTCAGTTCGCAAATCTTCTCGTTGGGGTACTGTCCGATGGGCGAATGGCTGGCCGTAGGTATGGAGAACTCCAACGTGGAGGTGCTCCACGCCAATAAGCCCGACAAGTACCAGTTGCACCTGCACGAGAGCTGCGTGCTGAGCTTGAGATTCGCAGCGTGCGGTAAATGGTTCGTGTCCACCGGTAAGGACAACCTGCTGAACGCCTGGAGGACGCCGTACGGCGCTAGCATATTCCAGGTAAACTCGCCGTTGTTGCTCTTTTCTATGTATGATGGAGAGGAGTACGAGTATTTTTTATTTTTTTTATAAAACTACGTATTTTTATGAAGTCATTGATGAAATTTTTAATTTTTTTCTGTTTCCTATTAAGGTCACAATTAATTTTTAAAGTTTGAAATAAGTCATTAACCAATCACATTAAGAATTGGTGGTAAAGATCGTTTTTAGCGACGTTGTCAAATATCTTTTAACTCGGAAAAAAGGCGTTTGTTTGTATGTCAATACTATAATTTATTTTTTATATTTCTTGACAGTTTTATTCGAAAAATATAGAGCGAACTTATAATTGTTAAATAATATAATATGCCTATACTTACGAATTACTGTAAATATCTTAAATTCTAAATTATTGTTTAGTAAAAATGGTATTGTGGCGTCATCGAATGTATACTTTTGACTTTTTAATCCTGTCATCTGTCAAATTAATAAAAACAAAAACTTAACCGCTAATCAAATCAACTTATAAAATTTTAAAATGTTGCATTCGATGGCAATTAAAACCTGTTTCATGCCGTTTTGTGAAAATTCTTCCTTGTATTCTAAAAAAGTGTTTATTTTTGGCCCAAAAAACTTAAATCAAAGAAATTACAATAACATAACCCTAGATATGTCGTCTGTCATTTGATGTTAAATTTCACTTTCGTTCGTTTCTTCTATTCTTCCGAACATTCCGTTCGAATGTAACTCGTTCGTTTTGTGATTGGTTAGTGACTTTACATGTCACGAGTCAAAATTTTAAATTTAAAATGGCTATAATTTCTAAAATATAGAATATTTTCAGCAACTGAAAACTGCTTTAAGTTCTAATGACTTATTTCTATTCATTTTATTCTCCATTATTAATTGTGTTTTTTTTTTAGTCCAAAGAATCTTCGAGCGTGCTGAGTTGCGACATTTCGGCGGACGATAAGTACATCGTGACCGGGTCCGGTGACAAGAAGGCGACGGTGTACGAGGTTATATATTAGAGAAATGAACGAGAGAGACTCGGACTCTAGTTGTAACATAAATGAAAGAAAAAATGTGATAATTAAGTGTAATAACGAACTCGACTTACGTATCAAAAAATCTGAAAAAAAAACTATAGCGGCGAAAAAATTAGTGATCTGATGTGAGATACTAGATTTTTAGGAAAGGTGATCTCCCATGACAATTTAAATACACTTTTTTCATTATTTAATTGTATATATCGATTGATATTGAATTGTTAATATTTACTTACTAATATTAAGTGACAAAAAATACTTAATTTTTTTAATCGTCAAATTTCCCTTCTATCTTTTTTAGAATTGTATATATTTCAAATATTACCACCAATTTTACGCATTAGAAGCATTTTGTTTGTTTTATTCAAAATAATTGTAAATCATTCCGAGATTTATTCTGCTAATTATTACAACCGAATTACAACGAAGTATTAATTAAGTAGCAAATTTTATTTATTCTATTGCAAACTCAATAAATTACAGGGTAATATTATTAACATATACGTGAATTCAACAACTATAGAGGGTGATTAATTTGTTGTTATTAATTAATTATAAATTGCAATATTGTCTGATCCCTTTATTTATTCTCACCCTTACCCTTTTTAATTCTCTATAATAAAAACAGTTTTCCTTACGAATCGTTGTAAGAAGATGAAAATATCTTGGAATGAGATTGCTCGCTAGAAAGAGGCATACTTCAGAAATCAATTTAGAATGGGTTCTTAACAATAGTGCTGGTTATTGAGAATGCAGATCTCATCAGAAGTGTTCAATCAAACCACCCTATTTTTTCAATACCGGTGTTATTGAGGGTGCACGGCAAGTTGAAATAGATACTAATAGCTTTTTACGAATAGATAAATAAAATTCTAATGGAATTAATTCTGTTCTAAAACATTTTTGAGCTGTGCCGCTGTTCGACCACTCGAGCGATAATACATTTTACATTTCACTAGCAAATCGAAACTCGCAAAACGATTACAATTTACACGCGATTGTATATTAGGGGTAAACATGATCTCGAGTTTGACATACCAAATGGAGAGGAGTACGACTTTTTTAATTTTTTTTATTAAATACGTATTCTTATGAAGTCATTGTTGAAATTTTTATTTTTTTCTGTTTCCTATTAAGGCTACAATTAATTTTTAAAGTTTGAAATAAGTCATTAACCAATCACATTAAGAATTGGTGGTGAAGATCGTTTTTAGCGACGTTGTCAAATATCTTCTTACTCTAAAAAAAATGCGTTTGTTTGTTATGTCCATGCTCTAATTTAATTTTTGTATTTCTTGACACAGTTATGATTTATTCTTATATGATTTTATAATTGTTAAATAATATAATATGCCTATATTTACAAATTACTGTAAATATCTAAAATTCTAAATTATTTTTTAGTAAAAATGGTAACATGACAACATCGAATGTATACTTTTGACTTTTTAAACTTGTCAAATTAATAAAAACAAAGACTTAACCTACAACTAAATCAACTTGAAAAATTTTAAAATCTTGCATCCGAAGGTAGTTAAAAACTGTTTCAAATTTTCTAGTTCTAATGACTTATTCCTATTCGTATATCTGGTTAAAAACCGTATATTTCACATCGTACACCTCCCCATTGTTTAATTTAAAAATATGAGAATTTGGCGTATTAAACTCAACGTTCTGCTCGCCCCTACTGTTTATACATTATTGTAATTAAATTAGTGATGAATATAAAGAAATTTAATTTAAAAAGAAGAGAGAATCGATGCAATGTTGCCTGTGTACACGAAAAATTCGCTCCGATTTCGCATAATGTCGCAAAAACTATTGGTACCTCGTTGTGTAAAATCAATGTTTTTTAATTTTCTTATTTAGATAGCGTTTAGTACAGCACCTCATTCGACAGATAATGCAAGGAAATTCCGAACGAACGAAACTTTTACTACTTACAGCACACTTTCTGCGGGATAATGCGACATATTAGGGTCCGTATCGATCTTGAATTTAGTGTGATAAATTAGCATATTAAATTCAAAATCGCTGTTACCTTTTTCTGTTTAGTGAATAAACTTGTTGATGTTGCCGCGCATTCGCCCAGTGTGGCGCTGTACTTGCAGTTTATGTTAGGAATTTGTAGATAATTGGAAAAAATATATCATTGTTTTTATTTTTAAATACCAACGTTTTTTATTTCTACCTTTACCAACAACATGAATTAACAAAGCGCAAAGATTAACTACTCGGGCAATTAATTATTGATGAAGAACTCCTAGAAATGTAGAGTAAAGGAAAATCATTCGGCTTGGAGAGGCAAAATTGCTTGGGTAATAGTCAGGAAAGAAATATAAACTAGTAGTAGGGCCTTTAATAGTAGATTAGGTTAGCTTAAGAAGCTCAAGAAAGCTTGGCAAAGGAACTCAGTGATGGATAAGGAGCCTAACGCAACTAAAATGTTATAACGCTCCTGGTGCACCAGAAGGTATGTAATTTAAAACATATAAATAGAAAGACCTGAGGCTTAATTGTAAACTCATAGTAACTCCAATCAAATTCATTGAGAATGACCCCCGTATTCAGAAGTTTTTTATAATCAAATGGCTTTGTAACCAACGATTCATGAAGATGAAAGTGAGATTAGTTTTTTGTCATTCTTCTACCATTTAGAACGCTCTAGAATCATCTAGAACTGTATAGAAGAATTAAGAACGGTCCAGACTCAATAAGAACGCTTCAGAATCAATCAGAACTGTCTAGAACAATTTAGAACGCTCCATCATCATTTAGGATTCTCCAGATTTATTTAGAACGCTCCAGAATCATTTAGAACTGTCTGGACCAATTTAGAATGCTCCATCATCATTTAGGATTCTCCAGTTTCGTTTAGAACGCTTCATCATCATTTAGAACTCTCCAGATTTATTTAGAACGCTCCAGAATCATTCATAACATAACTGTTTAGAACTATTTAGAACGCTCCAGAATCATTTCAAACTGTCTAGAACAATTTTAGAACGCTCCATCATCATTTAAACGCTCTAGCTAGAACCATTTAGAACTACAGTTTCATTTAGAACGCTCCAGAATCATTTAGAACTGTCTAGAAAAATTTAGAACTTTTCAGAACCATTTAAATCTGTTTAGAAAATTTTAGCTGAAGCTTTATTTGGAAGAATAAGAAGAATGGCTAATTAATTTCTCTCTCATCTTGTTTAAGATTCAAATAAGCAATGCTACCATGTTTAAAATTAGGAAATTAATCGTTGGTTATATAACCATTTGATTATAAAAAAACTTCTGAATACTGTGTTAAATCTTAAGAAAGCTAATTTCCAACAGAAATATGCACATAAGCTACATCTATTTACCACTTACCAGAAATATCATCCCTGCATCCCTTTCATCCCTCAAGTTGCCTCTTCAATTTACATCGTGTTCGCTCGAAGTGTGAAAGGTGGCGCCTCTTCCCTCCTGAAAAGTGATAGAAAATGGTGAAAATTTCAGAATATCACAGGAAATTCCGAGCAATGCCCAATAGAAGGATTCCACGACCTCAAAATCAATCGAGCTGAATGGATTACTGAAGTACAGATGGAGCTGCATCGGCCCTTTTGAAATTATTTAAAGCGAAAGTAAAAATTGAGCCCTTGGAAATCGCGAATAGTGGCTAAATGTTTACATAAAGTTATTTAGTATTTTTTTGCAATTTTTTTTGTGTCGAGTTATTGTAGTTGGTAGAAAAGCGTTTAATTGGTAATTTAATTGAAGTAACAGTATTGAAAAATTTGAGGGAATATTATATTTTATTATGCACAAAAATTTTAGAATAGTGTTCAAAATAATGAGTAAAGTTGTGAGTAAAAATCAAGGCAGGCAGGTATTCAAATATTCCGCAAATAGAGCGAATTTTCGGATCAATTTTCCGCATTTGAATAGGAAGCGCGTACATACACGTAATTCAATTCGTCGAGCAACGGTGGAGAGCGGCAACGCCGCCGCCGGGTGCAGTGAAGATCGATGCCGCCGCCTGACATCGGTCTGGGTCGCTCCCGGTCGTTCACCTGTTTCATCCCCCGATTCAACCCCCGGCTCGCTCGCTCCCTGGCGCTCTCTCTCTCGCTCTCTCGCGCCCCCGATGCCGGCGTGTATACGCTCGAATATATACGCTGGAAAGCGGCGGCTACGCGCCGCCTCTTTGGGATTTCCGCATTCGCATCGCGCCGTATCCAGCGGAATTCCTGGCTGTGGGACTACGTCCTAGTTCAAGGTTTGCATCATGCAAATTAGCTAGGTACTTTAACACCGTTCGCCCGTTATTTGCACTATTTTTCTTTCTAATATACACTTTATTTCTAAACTTATGAAAATGTTTTTGTAACTTATTCGTTTTGTATACGCTCATAACAAACACCTAGTATACAGATTGCTCAATTTTTCATTATAAAGGAAAAAGAAAGAGTGACATTTGTATCATTGCAACTTTTCACTCTGACAACTGTTATTTATAATCTTTCTTTGTTCAACTCATAGAAATGCCCATGTTGCAATCGCGAATGAAGCACAGTGTATATCAATAAATCAATTATTTGTATAAGCTTTATAGCGAATAAATAGGCATTGATCAACTCGCAAAGTTTCCCAAAAGCCTAAAGAAACTCCTAGCGTAGGTGTAAAAACCTATTAACCGAGTATTAATTCGGTTAACGCGCTTATACAGAACATTCCGAAACTTGTAGTTCCGTTAATCAAACGTTTCAGAGGGTTTGTGTGTGTGTGTGTGTGTGTGTGTGTGTGTGTGTGTGTGTGTGTGTGTGTGTGTGTGTGGGAAAAGCGTCGGTAGGCGTAATTTTCCCGAACGCGATTTTCTCGCCACGGCAACTATCGATCTTTGCGTTCTCTGATTTTGACACATGTCAGCGGGGGAAAATAGAGAGAGATTGATGTCGAGTAGAAACACTAGAAAAATGAAGTGTTCGTACTGTTCACACTTGGAGTCGTGTATGTTGCAGATAAATACGCCGGGGGGTGGAAAATTGTCCGGGGAATAAACATAAAAAATTTGTTCGCGCGCTATTTTGTTCCCTCTATAAAGTTCTCTACAAATTAAGTGATTTTCTCGCATGTAATTGAATTGTTCTTTCATATATTCTGCGCTATCAATAAGAATTTTTAAGATACTTTTCCAAAATTTTAGCCATTTTACAAAAAATTAAAATATTGAACAATAAATTAATATTTATTACTAAAAATTTTTATAATTTGAGAAGTTGCGACAGCTATGAAGGACGCACAAGGTGTTTAAATTCAAATATTATTGGAAAAAAATATAAATTCAAGCACTGTACAATTAGCAACTAAATTTAATATTATGATAAACAATTATACAGTACAGATAAGTCTTGTTACAGTGTTTATCAACAATTTTTTGTATAAATATCGCATTATTTAAAAAACGAAATCAGTTAACAATTTAGAATTTACATTTAACATATTACCAGTACCTACTTATCGTACTGTAGTACCGTTAACTTCTAATTCGCTTTATACCGATGGGAATATGGAATTGACTATTTTTATTATTGCTTTCTGTTATATTCAAAGGTAATTATTAAAAATTTTAATTCATAAATCTAAATGGTAAATTTAGTAAATAATTTCCCCCGGGTTTTATTATTTGTTTTAAAGTTCCAAATCTGTACACAAATGGCATTTTAATTACTTTCGAAAGTTTTAATCCGTTTTTAATAGAAACTAATGGACCGAAAAAGTAATTTTTAATCGAAATTAAAAAGTTTTAATGAAAATATGCAACTCAGAAATGAAGAAATCAATCCAAGAAACTACAATTCATCACGTACAATACGCAATATTTATTTAAATAAAACCTATTTTTATATTAAAATGATAAATTAACAGATAATATTATACAGGGTGTTTCATTAGGAATGATTAATAACTTTAATCGTAGGTTCAGGACCTCCAAATATTTATATTTTACTAAATAAATGTGGGTCAAAAATTATCTACTACTAAGATACAGGGTGTCCAATTTTCACTACCTACTTACAATTAGATGGAATTTGGTGAACAAAATTAACACTACAGTCATTAAAGTAAATCTAACAATTAATTATTTGACAATTGACACTTTTATTTTACTTTTCAATGTTGAAAAATATGGTAAAGTAAATTTAAATAGGTAGATACTGTGGGTAGAATATTTTAAATGCAAATATCTCGATATGGATAATTTCTGTTTAAATTTAAATGGTGTATCACAAAGACTTGAATAAAAATCAAAGTTATCAAATCTTCTTTATCAATCTCTTTATCAAATCTCAAAATTGATATATGCTAATGATTTACTGACTTAAAAATGTAACCATACCAAATTTTTAAGTCAATGTGTCAAATAATAAAGAAATTATTACAAAAAACGTAAAATAAAATTTAACTTCAACATCCTGTATCTTAGTAGTAGGTAACATTTGACCCATTGTAGTTATTTAGTTAAATATTAATATTTGGAGGTCCTGAACCTATACGATTAAAATATTGAGCATTCCTTATGAAACACCCTGTATATGATTTCAAGTATTCAAGGTGGAATTAATTGCAAAAAAATTATTTGCCGCATTTTTGAGATAAGGACGTACAAAAACAAATTTCTAATGTATGTAAATGTTTGCTGAAATAAGTTGTACATTCGTCTATAAAAAACATTTTCACATACCTACAATTTCAATTTACTCGTTTATTTTAGAACATTATGCTTCGACGCGACTCTTTACAAATTCCCCAACGACTTCAGTTTCGGCGTCGCGACGTCCGCCTACCAAATCGAAGGAGCCTGGAACGTCTCAGGCAAAGGGTACAGCTATTGGGACTACATCACCCACGAAGTCAAAGTAGTAGTTGAAGATGGTCATTAACCTCACAAAAAACCCTTCACTGCGCTCCTTATAATGTATTATTCGATTGCAGGTAGTACGGGCGACGTCGCTTGCGATTCCTACCACAAAACCGACGTCGATATAGCGCTGTTGAAGCGACTAGGCGTGAATCACTACAGATTCTCCATTGCCTGGACGCGAATTTATCCAACGGGAATGATTAACAATATTAGTCGGGACGGCATCGCCTACTACGATAATCTGATTAATAAACTCCTCGACGCCGGAATTAAACCTTGGGTAGCCCCAATCTAATAAATGATTGATTAATTAATCGCGTTAAGTCGTCGCTAATCGAGTTTTTACGCAGGTGACAATTTACCATTGGGATCACCCTTACGGCATCCAACGGTTAGGGGGTTGGTTTCAACCGAAAATGGCCGATTACATAGCCGATTACGCCGATCTGCTGTTCAAATTGTACGGTGATAGAGTAAAAACGTGGATAACTATCAACGAACCGTATTCTTTATGTGTTAACGCCATCAACGTTATGGCCTACATACCTAAAGGTTTTGCTGAGTACATGTGCGGACAGAACGTGTTAAGAGCTCATGTTGCTATCTGGAGAGTTTACCAGAAATATAGAAGCACTCAGAACGGTAGCAAATCGATTTGCTCCCTACTTTTATACCCTTCAAATTTTTTTGTTTGTAGGTAAACTAAGTATGGCCTTTAACGTACAAGCCCACTTTCCAGCTACTGATAGCCCTGCTGACATCGAAGCGGCCGAAAGGCTCAATCAATTCGCTGTAAGTAGACCGGATTTTTTCGTATGTTTGACCATTTTTTGCATTGAATTCGTAGTTCGGATGGTTCGTCAATCCCGTGGTCCACGGTAATTACCCCAAAGTCATGATCGACACGATCGCTTCGTATAGCGAAAAACAAGGTTTCAAGGAATCCAGATTGCCGCCATTATCTCCGGAAGATTTGGCCGATTTGAAGGGATCCTGCGATTTTATCGGGCTGAATACTTACGACGTTTACCTAGTGAGTTCTAACAATGGGACCGTTGACGTTAATCCCAGTTACTCCAACGATTGTGGAGCAAACATAATCGATCCTAATTGGAACGTTTCATACGCGATTCATGTGAGTTTATGGAAGTTTGCCGATCAATGGTGAAGATTTTTTAATTACTTATGTATGTTAGATGAAAGCAAAAGGCTTGGGTGTTTTATTAAATTGGATTAAAAAGAATTACAACAATCCGGAAGTACGCATTACCGAGCAAGGTTATTGGGAAGATGCCAGGAATGTGTTCGATTTTGACAGAAGTGCATACATAGTGGTAAGTATATTCGAATAAATTAATATTTACGTCACTAATTAGTGATTTTTTTAAGGCTAATACGGCTCAAATGTTGAAATCAATTTACAAAGACAAAGTTAACTTAACCGCTTATTCTTATTGGAGTTTCATGGATAATTTTGAGTGGAATAAGGGATACATGTAAGTTTTCTTTAGATTTTTTTTTTGAAAAACTACAAAATTTATTATCAATTCCAGAAGAAAATACGGTTTGATAGATGTGGACTTTAAAGATCCCACTAGGAAAAGAAGATTAAAACTATCTGCTGGAACTTTTTCCACGATAGCATCCAACAGGAAATTAATATAGATACTGCATCAGCATAGAATTCGAGAATTTAGTACATCAGAATCTAGATTTCAATACAATAAACATATTTTTCCGACAAACAGGAATGCAACAAGCAATAACAATTCTTCACACTGTATAAAACATTAAATTACAATATGCATGATTTGAACCAGCGACTAATAGAATACACAGCATAATTCGCATTCGAATCGATACACCTCAATTCTAAGCACATAACGCCGATCGCAGGATGCATTCGAAGCCGGCCCGCTCCTCCGGCAGGACCGTGCACGCGTCCCTGTTATCCTGGAAACGCCGCGCGCCGCGCCAAAGTTTCCGGGTAATGCACCGACGGAACGGGAGAGGACGACGAACGGAGTTCCGGGGTCGTTGAGATATATCGGCGGGGCCCCGGAGCGGAGCGCGCGTTCCCCGCCGAACGCGCTACGCGGCGGCCCGGACAAGGTAAGGGTTAGTAACCTTCCGTGCACTGGGACGTGTATATACGCGTTCGAATCCTGCAGTTCCAGGTATTAGAATGGATAGAATGGAGCGGGCGAGAGGGCCCGGAGTTTATCCGGATCCGGTGGCTGGAAAGTTTAGATACGATGCAAGGGTCATTTTTGTAGTATCCACTTTAAACTGGATGGGTCTATTGCGATAATATTTTTACATGGAGAGTTTTTTTTTGAAGAATGGAATAATATTTCTTCTTTTATCAAATACAATTGATTCAATTTTTAGGTAGGCTATTTGGGATTTAAGCTCAGCAAGATTTATGAAAACTACTCTTTTGTATTCATTAATCAAAAGGAAGTAGAATCCAAACATTTATTCAACTCTCCTGCAACCTGTAATCCTGCAGAAAAACCGCAATATTTAAACTAATAAAAAAGGGATTATAGTAACCCAATTCAATGTCGTAATATGGCCGCAATGTGGGGATTCAAATTCGAAACTTTCCCAATTAAAGTCGTCGATGGAGAGTGGCCCAGAGAAAAGTGCCGGCGGAAACAATACGAGCGGGGCTCCTAACTAGCAATTTCAGTTAGCAAAATTCCAGTCGGATCGCGACGCATCCGTCAACGTCGCTCGCAGTAATAGGAATAGTTGTGTAGCTTCTGTGCGGAAATCGCGCGGGACGGCGAACGGGAGGCGTCGCGACGGAAGAGGAACGGGCGGCGCGGCGGCCGGGGTGCCGGAGTAATGTTCGTGTATATTACGTTTACGTGAAGTTTATCTTGATGGAAATATAAATCATGCCCGGAGTACGTTTGTCCCTGATTGTGCTAACGTTGACAAGTTTTGGAACTACACATACTCATAAATGTTTTGCATATTGTACAGGTTGCTCCATTTTTGATCGCAACATAGGTTATATAGGCCATGGGTGCGATAAAGACAACTTTCATTAGACACTTACAAAGGAAAAGAAAAGAGTGACATTTGTGTCATTGCAACTTTTCACTCTGACAACTGTCATTTTAATAATCTTTCTTTGTTCCACTCATAGAAATGACCATGTTGCAATCGGAAATGGAGCAAGGTGTATAGTTGAAATGCCACTGCCCATTTATTATTTAATATTTCTTTTGTTAAATTGATTTTATTGTTAATTTTAAATGATGTTTATGCCTTTTGGAAACGACTAATTTTACAAATAATTCGTTGTATTAAATGTTATTCTTTTATGCGAAACATTTTTGAGAATGTATATACAGGGTGGTCCGTAAGTAGTGGTCCAAAAGTGAAAGGAAAGCTTCTGGGCCTCAAAATATTACGATCTGATCCAACTTGCTTTAGTAAAATATTAAAAATAAAAAAGATAAAAAGTACAGAGTTTTTAAAAAGTAAAAATTTGAAGACAGGTGTTTCAATGCATGAGAAATCATAATATGATAAAAACAATTTAACAAAAGGAATTTCAAATAAATGGCCGGTAGCATTTCATCTTCCTATATAATATGCAAAACATTTTTGAGTGTGTGTGGTACTGAAGCCAGGATTTTCTCGCTATTTTAAAATGTTGGAATCAGTATGCATGCGTTGATTATTGTTCATTGGATTTCCATCAATTTTATTCCGCCGAGTTGTGACAACAAAATTAAAATTCACGAGAGGAGATTTTTTTTCCTTTTCGCTGACGCCGAAACGGAATGTAGGGGGGTTTAATGCACAAAGTAAATCCCCCGCCTCGTGTCTACGAATGTTCCGGGCTTGTATTAATTAAATTCCTGCTTATTTGAATGTAGGCAGCCGCAAAAATATACGTAAATACATTCGCAGAAATCGTATAAAGGATTTTTTTCCGACGTAATTACCCGAATGTTGATACCTAATTTTCAGATATTCCACGTGATTGAGAACCTCGAACACTTTGCAAAAAAAACGAAAACCCATTGAGACGAGTGATAAAGTATTGTAGCGCTTTTTGTACGTTTCCAACGCCCGAGCTTAATTATAAACTTCTTCCGAACTTATCCCATTATATTCCAGCTCTTCTCGTCGACGATTTATCCACCCTCCCGTCGAAATCGGAAAAAGAAAAAAAAATCATTTTCCAACGCGCCGAAATGAAATATTCAAATTTTCGAATCCCCTTTTGCGACGCGTTGTTTCATTGTTTATGTAAACACACAAAAAATTCACAAACCTATTCGGTATATAATATTCGATTATTCGCTTTCCACTTCAATCGAAAAAAATATCGACAATTCGCAATTTCTCGAGCACATAAAATTTACACGAAACTAGAAAAAGTAGATCGATAGTAATAGAGTTGTATGCGGTTTTTGACAATCGACAATTCCACGACCGCGAATAAACAAAGAATTAACGTATGCAAATGAGCTATAAACATCAGTAGACGGCGATGTATGGCGCATAAAACGTAGCGTCCATTAAAGCTGTATAAATATGGAACCGGAGAAAACCCCGTGCAGTACTCAATTACACCCTTGGGTAATCGCGCATCCTTTAAAGTGCTCTGGGCTGGTCGTTACGCCGATAAAATTATTCGAAAAAATTCCTTTCCCAACTTCCTACTTTATGTCCACGTTTTCCGCACAAAAGTTAAATAATCTGCTAATTATAGCCTATTATAGCCCACACAGTACAGTGATGTAATGGGAATGATAAATTGAATCAACTATACACAATAATTTTAATCAAATTACACCGTTTAGTGGAAGCTCGACTGTAAATAGCACGCCAATGGGAGCGGGAAGCGTTGTCTCGGAAAACTGGATGGGGAAATATCCTGCTCGGGATGAATCTGGATCGCGAACGGCTCGACGTTCCTTGAACTTTTCGGTAGGAGCTCTCGTTGGATTTCGGTATTTTTTGCCGTGGGGTTGTTTATGTCTAGCCGGCGTTCTCTTTTTGTGCGGTATGCGAAAAGGTTCGAAAAGGGGTTTAAACCCTCTATCAAGAGGGTTAACGAGGAATAATGCGATTTCTACAAAAGCCTTTTCGCTTGCAAATACACGAGTAGTCATTTTACCATAATGGAGGTAATTTTAGTTTTCTATTAATTAATTACCGCACAAATCGTGGAATGGGTTTTTATGGAATAACTTTTTTACGTTCGATTAACGCGATTGAATCGATATATTCGAAAATGACATCCCCTTTTTCCTGTCGCGTTCGTCCTTTCATGAACATTAATAAATAATAAGGGTTGACATGATTAGAGCACCAACAAGAGAGCGAATAAAAAATATATCGGATACCTTAAAAGCCTTAAAAAAACCAACAGATGGTACCCTTCGTAGCAATTCGCCCACTCATTAAATTCGTAAAAATGCCCTTGCACGTTCCTCTCCTATATCCTAAAGTTAAACAATCTATAATACAATTATTTAGCGTCGGATGAATTTCGGTCATCGAAAGCTCCCAAAGAGGATTACCAGCGAGGCTTGAGTTATAATGTAATAACGAATTTAATTGCCGCATTGGAGGAAACGCGTGATTAAAGGGTGCGAGTTATAGTTCCGATATCCACCTGGTGTAAGGGCGATATTCCTGTGATGCTATTGCGCTTATTAGATTTGAAGGCAAAAAGATAATGCGGATTCCTCGATAGTTAAATCGAATTTCGAGTTGTTTACTGTTTGCGGATGAAAAATTACTTCCGCTCCCTTTTATTAGATAAATTCTCCGTTTTGCCCATAAGTCACTACCCTGTCGAAATATCATCGGCAAATAAAAGGGAGACGCCGAGGAGAAATATTAGAAGGCTAGATAAATTTTTATTTAATAGAATAAACAAGAATATCGCTTAGGAAAGTACATTTTCGTCCCCTAATAAGAAACCGTATATTTTCCGCGAGAGGCGCGTTGATTTTTTGAGCGGACAGTTGCCGCAAAATCTTTTATTATACATATTGCAGTACGCGCTAATAAATATTCGAAGCAGGAAGGTCGCGACGGGGCGAAAATAAGGATAAATTCTTCAAGGCACATCCCGCTGGAAGCCTATGAATGGTTGCCTAGCCGGCGCTCTGCGCAACCACTCGATGCGACCGTCTATCGACCACTTTCGGGGGCAGCGGCAGCGGCAGCGGCAGAGGTGGGAACGGCGCCGCTTCCCGCTCGAACACTGCGGATAAAGTTTTTTCCCGAGGCGGAGGAGGCGCCTTTTTCCGGCCGGCGTTACCCAAATCCCGCTAAATCTCTGTAGATACATGTGGAAAATTAGATGTCCTGCCTGATTAATTGGATGTTCACCCTAAACACTATAGGACTGTCGTCTAAAATCTTCCGAAAGACAACTCCTTGTCTATTTATATCAAACTTAACAAGCTTTCAAGCTTCAAATGCTTTGAACGAATAACTTCTAAACAAAACTTTTTGGTTTCCTGGATGTTGTTTTTGGCGATTCGCAGGACTGGCGGGAGTACGTTTCGACCATTGCCCATCTCTAATACAAAGTTGAACTATACGCTAAAGTCTCTCTACGAAGCTGTAGTATGCATGACTGCGGGCCTTGACATCGAGTAACCGACTAAACCCGGCAAACACTCAACCCGAATCCTTTATGCCCGAGGTGGTCGATCCTGTTTTCGATTCTGCTATCGAAGCGTTATGGATTGGCGTTAAAAATAGAAAATTAACAGGGGATAGTGTTTTATAAAATGTTTATTGGTTTATTATCCCACTGAAGTAATAATCTCTTATTTATGATTTCTTGAGTGCAAGTTTTTAGAGCTGGAAGTTTTGCGAATAATTCTCTTCTTGGCGATAAAACGCAATAAAAAACTTCGAACCGGCTGTTATTTATTCATTTTTTCCCCTGCGACGAACTTTAATTTCTGTAATTATTTAGGGAAAATCCCGACATTAGGAAAGCATTAATTTATGTTCGCTTTGTGTTTCCCAGTTTGGCGACACTTTAATACTTGGACGGGTGCCAACGTTTCGGCGACTTTCGCGGAGTTTTGAAATATCGTTATAGTTCTGCCGTTGACTTTCCGATTGATAGTCTCCGATTTTTTATTCGATCAAACTAGACCGGGCGGTAACCCAGAAATTTGAATATCCGCCGCAATTATCAACCCCCGCTCAAATGAAAAACCCTGACCTCCACGCAACTATCTTTCCTGCTATTATTAGAAAACGCTGTTACACCTACTGAGGAAATTAACCTTTCATTGATCCGCACTAGCAAAGGCGTCGTTCTTACACGTAATTAATTACTATCGATTATTAATTTAGGTTTAGATTCCGTTTTCGACGTGCCATCACTTTCACCTCTCAACGTTAATCACATTCTGATTTAATTGAACATTAATTATTAATGGAAATATACGAGGGTTGCTAAGATACTGGCTGAGTAAAAGTGTTTTTATAACACCTAATTTTATAAAAAGGGTGCTTCATTCAATTAGCCATAACGACACAACAGTATTTTCTCTACTCAAATAATCTAGTCCAATACTCTTAAAAAATATTCAAAAAACGACTTTTAAATGCAAATCACTAATTAACCGTAAATGAGCTTTGACAAAAAGAAAACATTAATAGAAACTAGCGCAAACGAGACGTGCGAAAATTTTTAATTTCCCTTTAAACGCCGCAGAAGTTTCCGTTCGTGACGATTAAGTAATAAGGATATTTTATTTCAGTAAACGGGAGTAACGCAACCGTTGTAAATATTTGTTTACCGTGCCGAATGCGCGATTTCCTTTCGATTCCACCGGGAATTATTTTCTAAAAAAAAGCGGTTAATTTGCGTGGCAGAAGGTCGAATCCTTCGCCCCGAATCGTGACGTTCGCTCGAAAGGCGGATAAAATTTTCCTTGAATAATCCTCTTATGCAGCAAGGCTTATTAAACGGAATTTTCTGCAGTTGTTATGGATTATTGATTTAGTAATTTTATTTCGTTTATTAACCGCGAGCTAGGTACTCTGAGTGGATTAAATTGAATTACATGAAATTAAAAAACGATTTTCCAAAAGTTGATTTTCTAAAAGGTCTAATATAAATAGAAATTCATGAAAACTCAAAAGATTCCGAGATAAAATGTCGCTACTATACTGCAAGAAAAATTAATCAAGTGGCAAGGGTAATAAAAAATATTCCTGCTACTTTCTGGCGCTGTAAAATATTCCTGCCGGGCCGGGAAAATCGAACACTGCGGCGATTCCTTCCGACGCCGCATTTGAATAAAACTAATGTATCATAGCGCTTTATTTCGTGCAAAAAATGGCAGACTGCCAAATCCGCAGTGCCGTTATTGGAGGTGTTATAAATTGAAAATACCCATCCGTGAACCCCAAATTTGGAAAATTGCGGACGTTCAAGTAACCATTGGATGACTAACCGTGCGACAAGACATCGGCAGGTCCATTGGTGACTGAATCGACCTTTGTGACTGCACGTGACTGAGCAGATCTGCTAAAGAATACAAGCGATCGATGTTCAGCTGTGCCATCACTGACACGCACCTCCAATGGTTTTATGCTTTCTACTCGTATAAGTATCGAGCGCGGATTAGCGATCGTACGCGAGCTGTTATACACTCTTACAGTATAAAGTATTGCCTACAATTCAGGATACCTAAAAAAACGCGATATTTGTTGTACAAAAATTTTTTGTTTCGAATAAATAATATTGAAAAATTCGGAATATTTAATTTCGAAGAAAAAAAAATAAAATTCAAAAATCAACGTTGAAAAAAACAAAAAATTCGCAGTCAGTAGGATTCGAACCTACGCTCCCAGAGGGAATCTGATTTCTAGTCAGACGCCTTAACCGCTCGGCCATGACTGCTTGATGAATGCTTTACACGAAAACCCGCATTTACAGTCTTTAAATTATTGATTTATAGTTCACTATACAGGTTGTCCCAATTAAAAAATTTGTATTTGTATTAGCAAAATTTAATTTTTTGAAATATGTGTCTTATAAGGACTTGTGTTGTAAAAATGTATTTAATTCCTGTATCCTCTAAGAGGATAATTTGAAATCCATTCGAATTTCAATCCATTCGAATTCAATCCATTCGAATTCAGCGGTAGGAATTATTTTATATAAAAATGTTTATTTAGAATTGTATGGTTATTTTCTATTGTAATAAAGATTCAGGTAGCTATAAGCCAGATTGAATAAACTTGAATTGTAATTTTTCAGATAACTCGAGCGAAATAGCATAGAAACAAAATATAAAACAACAAACTATACAGAAAGTTTAGGAATGGCAATGTAAAATACGCACAGATGAATAAACAGTCTCTTTTCAGTTGCAATGCCAAGGGCGCAATTGATTTTAATACGAAGCAGGTGGAGTTTTATAGAGAGCAAATTATACATTTCGCGAATTTTAGCGAAATTAACATAATTTCGAATGTAATTTACAAGAACTCGGAAAACGTTCGGTGACCTAAAACGAGTTTTTTTTTCAGTTTAATCGAATGGAAAGGGACTATAGCGATTGACATAAAGCGTGTGAAATTGTATAAGTTTACCGCGTTCCGCTTCATTCGATAGACTCATAACGGCGCAAAAGGTCGATTATCCGGATTATCGCATTGATTTGGTGCTTTGATAAAAATGCATACAACAAAATAAACCCGACAGCGCACTCTTATTAGTGCACAGGAAAGCCCGAACTGCAGTAGCCAGCTGTTACCTTGCGTGGCTCGACCAATTTCTCGTCTGTTGTATATATTTTTTTAATTTTTATATGCCCGCATTCCCACCGTTCGAACTACCTGTAAAAAAACCGCCCGTTTCACCGACCATTTCACGCCGAACAAACGCATTTCGTATCCCACAGGATTCGTATTTCCGATCCGAAATCTCCGACAAATCTCCCGCCGCACGAAATTAATCGACCGCATCTTCCGCGGCTCGGAAAAAATTACACGAAAACCGAATTAAACAAAAATTACGCCGAACGTAATTAATCTTCCTTTATGATTGCGCCTAAACCATTTTCGCTAAGCCTCCGTTTCTGCACAATGAAAAGATCTCGCCCCGAGGCTGTGCCCCTTTTTAATCCCGAATCGCGGGAGAGAAAGAAAAGACGGGCCAGAGGGGGAGCTTAAATTTTTCATCTGGCTCCCTTATAAATACGTTCCAATTTTTCATTTTGCAGTCTATTATCCAAGAGGGTTTGATTTATTTACCGAGTACCTACTCGAATAGAAAAATGCACTCACTATTTTAGTACCTACTAAAAATTACATTCACCGAAAGACAATTCTTTTAATGGCCAATTATATCTGTTAATTAAATGGTGATGGAAGAGTAGTGGCCTTTGGGGTTTCGAGCGCCTTGTATATAGAAAGTAAAACGTGAAGATTCATGGCGATCTCGAGAAAGGTTTATTTAATAATCGTCCGGATTGTGATTTGGACCGATGGGTTGCAACCTGGCGGTCAGGAGGCAACAACAACGCCAGGTGATCGTTGACACCTGCTATTTTTTACAACAGGCAATTCGAAATTCTCGTGCTCTCTGCACTGAATTCCAACGAACTATATAAGTAAACTATCCCGAGTCCATTTGTTAGAATATTTTTTTCGAGTTGTTTTAGGTGACAACTTGAATGCCTCGGTTTATCCATCATAGTTTTCCTCTGCAACCCCAGCACATACGTTTTATGTTTTTAGGCGCGCTGGTTATAAATTACGCCCTTCCTAATCTGTTTTCCCTGGAGTGAACCTCTTCTCGTATTCATAGGGACGTCGCCTGCGTTTCCCTTTCGATGGGAAAACAAAGTTTTATGAATTGTTAGCCGTCTCCAACGCTGTCATAAATCAAAATTGGCTGACGGAAAAATTACCGCAATTTTCGGAAATTACCTCACAATGCCCCCGGATTAGGCGCATCCTGTTGAAACGGAGCAGAATCAGAAATTTACATCCGAACTATATACGCGGTTCAGGTAAGATTTTTGTTGTGTAAGATAGAATAAAAAAGACACAAATCTCTTTTAAAATGATGGTCCGTCTTCACGATAGAGGCATGTGCCCAAACGACAGCTGCAACTATGGTGCCATCGAAAGAAAGAACCTACCTACGCGATGCACCTGGTACATTAATTACGCAGCGGCGTAGAAAAACACACCTTGGACCAGAAAAAAAACGTGCAATTAGTTAACTTAATTAACATTGCGAAATTCAAGTTAACTTTAACATGAAAATGAGACACGTCTACGGAATATAGACAATTCAAAAGTATACTATTGGAATCACCTGATTCTTTATTGCCCTACGTTTGTAGGTACTAAATTTTTGTTTATCTTCTCGTAAGCACTACCATTGTGATGTGTATTGTTGTGGACGGAAAAGTACTGAAGATTTCGTACCTCCCACGTAGCGGGTCTACGTGAAGTAATGCCGTTTTGGCCCTGGAATTATTAAACGGAAAAAAAGTTCGCTTTAACGGTTGTCAAATGCAGAAATTGAGTTTCGGTTTTATTTACGAGGCGTTTGACGGACCCGTGGCAATAAATGTCGTCGTAAAAAATCTTAAAATTTTCGCGCGAATGTAGGTCACCAGTATGTTTTTTTCCGAAAAGCGTAATGATAATTAAAACCGCCGAAGAAGAAAGGTATCCATGTAGCATCGAATTACAAGAAATTCGTTGTTTGTGTAGGTGGTTTTTGGTTAATTTTTTGCATCGTTATTAAAATATTTGGTAGTATTAAAATCCTTTTGCTCAATTTTTTTTCGATTCCACCGTGAAATAAATACGAGAAAGATTATATACGTATAGCCTACAATTAATAATTTCGAGCCGAGACAGCTGCTCCGAATTTCTTAGGTCCTACTATTGTTCAGGTAAACAACAAGAAAAAAATACAAAAGGATGAAAAAAAACGAACCAAAAAACAACTAAAAGATCCATCCGTCTCGTAAAGCAGATGTTACGTGCGGTTTGGACCCAATGCATCCCAAAGTAATTTTTATTTTGGGCTTTGCGTGCTTACCCAATCTCCAACATCCAATTAATAATTTCGCAAAATTTTGGAAATTTATCACCATTAGACTCATCCGTTCGGTTCCGCTATTTTTTTAATACAGGATTATATGTGACTATATGGAAAAGACAACATCAGGAAAACGGTAAGGTAAATAATGAATTAGGACAATTCCCTGAAAAGAATCAATAATGCTATCAGGGCATACGAAACGGGGAAATACGTAAAAAGGGGCAATAACCTCTCGACGGGCGCGAAGGGTGAGTCAACAGATAGAAACGCAAGGGATGGGGAAACCCTGCGCAGTGTCGCCTATGCCCGACAGGACGGCCGCGGAGGGTGAAAAATTTTTAAATTTTTCATTCATTTTCGGTGCGCTGAAAAGTCCACCGCACGAATGCTATATTATTAGTCAATTAAATATACAATACGTTTTCTACTTTCGTCAATTTTACTCTAATTGCGACCGTTTTGTTTGTCAATTATTCATATTGGAAAAATTTACAGCTTCTTTTATATTATTAAACTCGATAATTTCTTATTTATTCCATAATTTTATAAAGAATTGTTAACTACTCTTGTAGGGGTATTGAAGAATAAATTAAATAATTAATTTAATTATCATGAAACACGTTGTGATGTCTAATTTACATTTAATATATTACCTTATTTTATTCTTTTAATACAATATTAATATTAATTGGTAATTGTTACGACCAATGAACAAAATTACTACACTCTATGTTATTGCTTTATACAAAACTCCAATCAATCCATAATCGTATTACAATTCAACGTTAAATTATTTTTTTTTTATTTTAATTCAAACGTGGACGGAAAATTCGATCAATAGAAATAAAAAATGAGGCATTACCTATATCTGATGGTTCGTCCGATGTGGTTCAACGGTCCGATTAAAATCGCTGATTAATTCACGACATTAAATTGATACGTTTTTAATGGGTCGATATTGGTAAAGCAAATCGAAGGAAGGATAAAAAATACAAATGATGTGCCATGCACGGATTCGTTCGGTACTTTCTTAACGACTTTTTAACACGAAATATTCGGTTGATATGTTTGTTTACGATGGATTTAATAGTTAATAAAATTGTTATTTAGGACGCGATTACTTCGAAACGTTAACCGAATTAACGTCGGTAAAAATTGGCGTTTATTCGGCTTATTTGGTGATAGTAAAAATTAACCGACCGCCGACTTTTCACCCGCTAAATAATTCGTCATTTATCAACGAATATTACTCTGCACAGCGTTCGTGTGTGTACGTTGCATCCCTGCAAATGCATAAAACATTCATAAACCACGCTGTCTAGACCGTCAGTCACTCCGACTCTTGTTTTAGCAGCCGAATCGATATATTTACTGTACGTGGGATAGATTTAATCCAGATATATCAATAATTCGGTTTTTTATATTTATAGGATAAATACTCGAATTAATTCAATTCGTCCGAAATCTGCAGTAATAAAAGCGCGCAATTTATTCATATACCTGCTGGAATCGAACTCTAATTTATGCATCACCTTCATTTTATACCTATAGCTTACCGCGTGAGATTCGTCGGGTCGTAAAAAAATTTAATTCGAAGGGTGATACACGCACCTTTCGATGCGCCCCCTTACCTTATGCCTGCCCCCCTTTCGCCGGCCACCAGGGAATAATAAATAAGGACTGTAGCGGAATTGGAATCCTTCGGGGTGTTTCAACGGCTTCGAGATGAGAAATTCGGATTTATTCTCATCACACAAGTCGCGTCGCTCAAGAACGCCCTCGGGAACACACCGGAGGGTTTAGCTACTACACCGGCCGTTCGTCAATTATCGGACACGTGATCGCTAGTTTACTTATTCAATTACAGCGGGGATGATTTCGAGGTTTTTATTATGTATGGTATGATTAATGGGGCTGCATAAGTGCATGTAATGGATTACGCAGCGTTACGGGGATTCCCCGATCCATCACGTTCGCTTCGATTTTCTTCCTCGACGGTTAGAAACGAAGTTCGAATAAGGTAGCGGTAGTTTATAGCGTTTCATCCATCGAATTGATACCTAATTTATCGCACGGGCAATAATCGGCGCGGATAATAATCGCTTTTAATATAACAAGTCGAATTCCCCCGTCGTATCCAGCAGGCACCACTGATCGGTCGGGATGGCGACCGGCAGCAGATGACGCTACAACAGCAACGCCGGCTTCGGGAAAGGAGCGTTTCCATGGACACGCGCTACCCGTCCAATCCCCCAAGTCGATCGTCGAGCGCGATACAAGCCCCGGCGGCTGGGCGACCGACACCCGACGGTTCAGGCGCTTTCAGGAAGCCGGCGAGAGGACCGCCGCTCGGATAAAAAAAAAATGAGTCTTCCGACTGATCAATCGCGCCACTTCGGAGAGGGTAGAAACGGCGCCCCGTCCACCTGGTATACACTCATCCGCGCCGGGCATTATATTAGGGCTGTTTTATCGGCTAAACGGTTTGGTAAATCATTTTCTTCGCTCTGCGAGTCGGACGGAGCAGTTGCCGTTAATTAGCTTTCCCAGCAGGATCCAGTCAAATAAATTACGTTTTGATTCTACTTAACTCAAAAGTAGGTATATCCAATCATTCACCCCGTCTCGCCCTAATTTATGCGTATATCTAACAGAGCTTTTTTAATCGCAAAATCCTTCTTGTCAATTCAATCCGAACCCTTCTACTTTCGCGCAGATTTTTTTGTTGTTGTCATTAAACGGCGTGCGGGCGTGTCAAAAATGTACGCTTTCTCGCGCTGGAAAAAAACGGCAATCAAAATAAACGAATTCATTTAAAGCATAATAAAACAGGAAGGGACATGTGCTCCGGTGGGGGCGTCGCACAACGAAACTCGTTTTTGAAAGCGATGATAAAGAGCGCGCCGAATGAAGGGCGGCTTGAATGGAAACTGTGAAGAACGTCGGCGGTTGAACGAGGGCCCGGGAAAATCGCATTTTCATTCGTTTTTTACCTCCAAACGGATCTCTTTCAACCACCAATATAACTAACGTGGATGCTTATACTACAAAAAAGTAAAATGGAACGAGCAAGTATACCAAATTTATTTCATTTTAAAACATTATTACAGAACTCGCATTAGATAATACATACAACTATTGGATAGGATGAAAGGAAACTGCTATATTGGCAGCTTGTCCTTGCAGAAGAGGGACGTCGTTGGCAAGGAACATTCCGCAAATGTAATGTTGCTCGAGTTCGAAAACTCGATAATTACTTCCCAGTGCGCACCCGCATTTCTGCTTTCTGCCATCCGATGAGGTAAATTCGAGCCCGTTGATGCAACCATCGCCCCAAACTTTCAACGAGACGAGCAGAACATCGCCGAAAACGAAGCTTCTGCCTTCGTTAGTAAAACCGCCAGTGTTCTTCACATTACCGTTGGAGAAGCGAATGGAGAGCCCGCCTATCTTCGGTGGTGATTTGTAGTTTTGCCTCCAGAACCACACGTCGATGGCCTGGAGTTTGTTTCTGGTTTCACCAACGAGTTGCGGCAACAGTGGTTCTGGTACATTTTCTTCGGCCAATTGCCTGTACAGTAGAGGGCTCGGTCGACCGAAGTAAGTAGAAAATACGACGACATCGTTGTAAGCTTTCTTCTTCCAGAAGGGGTTTTTGAGGATTCCTTTCCAGTAAGGTATAAACCCTGTTCCTGCTAGCCCACAGTAAGTACGAGTCGTTGCTAAAGCATCAAAAACTTGTTGTGGATCACACGTTTTGTATTGATCGTTGATTATAAACTTGGTTAGTTCGTTTATGTACGTAACTGCGCCATCGTTTTTATCTTCGATTAGTTCTTTGGATAACAGCAACAATCGACGAACTTGCTCGTCCATTAGGTTCAGTTTGTTCTTGTTCGTTATACCGAACTGGTACAGGCACATCTTCAAGCTAACCATGCAGGAATAATACGGCAGGGAAATATAATTGGCGTAGTTAGTGCGATCTGCTTCTTTGCCGGTGACGAATTTTTTCTCGAAGCCGGTCAATTCTTCCATCAATTGCATAAATTGAAAGGAGACGTTCACACCAGTGGTTTCCAATAGAGCGTTTAAATTAATCAACTTCGTTCTCAGTTGTCTTATATCCATTTTAACTTTCGATGGAAACTGCACGGCGTCGTCAAAGACTATGCCCCAAACGATTTCCCTTTGGGGGAAAAAGAAATCCATTAGAGGATCCAATTTATCGCCGACGGGTGGTATGTTTCCCGGAGAAAATTTCACCAGCGTCTTTCCGACTTCGTTGATGTCTACCTTGAGCGGAGCTTTGGGTTTTCCGCTCCAATCTGAGGCGTCATCCTTACCAACGTGCACCAAAGCTCTCAGTGAATAATCGTTGTAGACTTTCACAGCGCTAGCAACATAATTTTTGGTGCTCATGTCTAAAATCGCCTCTTCACCTGGTAGCACTTCCACCGGCCCAGCTGCTTTGCCATACCAACCCAAGGAAGTACCGACATGCACCTCAGCTCGTACGGGGACCCGACCAACGTTAAAAACATAGTAGTTTCTATGAATTACTGGTATTATTTTTGCGGTGTTTTGTTCAGCAGTGAAGGCATTATCCTTAGGTCGAATTTCGAAGATGTTTGAAGGATATTTCGACATTGTAAGCAGGTTTACCTGACGTAATCGAGTCAAATTAAAAAACCGATCATTATAGTAATAAAGAATCTTACCTTTTAAAGAAACGCACAACAACTTTACTTTAATACTGCAGGTGCAAATACGAAATGAATTAGGAACTGATAATGTGTAGGTAATTATGCGTTCTTATTAATATTATTATATTGTTTCCTGTTAGGATAAAAAATGTTGCTTTTTGATTTGAATAAAGGAAACACAATAGTACAATCAAAATTTGATTTGATATGCCTAATATTAATTATTTTTTCCGCTCTTTCGTATATGACGTTTTATCAGGGGAGGCTTCCAATTATAAAATAGAATTAGAATAGATACATAGTAGTAAAACTATATTTTTCAACTGGTGTAATTTTCCGCTCTGTACTGTTTTCGTTTACCCATTTGAAAAAACGGTAAGTTCTAGATAAATACTAAAATTAAATTAAATTGATCAATAATTGCTTAATAGAAGTAAGATTAGGTATCATTAACTAACCAAAAAGAAATCACTTTAACGTGTATATAAGGAGGTGCAATAATCCATACAGCAACAGTTAGAAAGAGTCAAAAATATTTGGCAAAATGAAGAGTTTAATTATCCTGGTTTTCTGTGCAGGCGTAGTATTTGTAAGTATAGTATACTTTTGGTCTAAATATTTGAATGCAACGCTTTAAACTGATACTTCTTCTAAAAGTTATTCTAATGGACAATAAGTTGATCTTATCCGCTCCTGAAGCTTTTGCTATATTTAAAACATGTCCTAGTTGATTCTTATATTTCTGTCCAGCATCTACTTGTGTATCTTTTTTGTACGATTTAAGAATCTCTTTATTGTTATTATACCAAACAAATCATCATTTTAAAACCCGGTCCTGTACCTACTCAAAGTTATCAATAGATTCTATAGCGGAAAAACTCCAAATATTACGATTGACTGTCGATCGATAATATACCAATAAAGCTTCTTAAAATTTACATGCTAAAAAAGGGGCAATTTCCTTTACAGGCAGAGCTTGCAAATGAACGCCGCATGTTCAGAAAACATCAAAAAGAATGCGAAACAAAACTGGGAGAACCGAAGGACATGATACAAAAAATGCTGAAAGGTGAGGATTTGGGCGACATGGAAAAGGCTGGAAAAATGGCGTTGTGCGTCAACATGGCAATAGGTCATATGAACGAAAACGGAGAATTGATACCTGATAAATTCAAGGAACACGTGGATAACCTCATGGAGAATATGGTCGAAAATATGCGAAAGAGGATAAGAGATGAATGTGGCAAGAAGCACGGTAACACTGCTGGGGAAGCTGCGATTAATTTCGTACGATGCATGAAGAATATCTTACCGCCCTCAGGCCCTAATGATTTCATAGAAAATTGATTCTTTTTCAATTGAAAACATTCTTTTACAATTGAAATTGTAATTCATATAAATATGTGGAAATTTTTACATTAATAATGCAAATATATGTACGAATGTATTGAATACCTGCTGTTTTATTAACTTCTTCCTAAATAAAAAAATATGTAACCTAAAATTATTCGGATGTAAGTCAAAGGAAAATGAAAAGAAAGTTATCATGAGCATATAAGGTGCTAAAAATTATCCGTCTTTATATTTCATTGTGTAATCATTTGTACTTCATCTACCTCTTTAACCTAAATAACAAGTTATATAATGGAAGGAAAATATAAAAAGGTTATCAAAAAATTCTTAATAATAGTTTTTTTTATCTTGTGACAAGTATAAAAAGCGACACCCATGAAAAAAAAGATACAGTTGTAAAAAATTTACAAAATGAAGTTTGCAGTAGTACTTCTTGCTTTTTGTGCTGTAGCATTGGTAAGTTATTTAAATTACTACATATACTATTTATAAAGAAGTACCATCTCTACTAGTATCTACATTTTTCATTATTTATTTAAATACCTAAATACTTACATAACAATTTTTTAAGGCTTCTGACTATGCAGAATTCCAAGTCTTGAAAAGGAGCCAAATAGAATGCGAAAAATTACTAGTAGAACCTAAAAATCTCCTTGAAAACTTGGTAGGCGGCAAAGACCTGGGTGACTTAGAGAAAGCGGGAAAAATGGCTTTGTGCATAAACGTCCGTTTGGGTCATATGAAGGAAGACGGAGAAATAATAAGCGATAAATACAAAGTTCACGTAGAAAAGCTCACCGCAGACGAGAACGAACGTAAAGCGATACTGGAACAGTGCGGGCACAAGAATGGAAAGAACCCAGCAGAAGCTGCATTAAATTACGGATACTGCATGAAGAAAAATCTTCCTACATTAAAACCTATACATTTCCAATTGGATGACACTATCTCTTTGCTTTGAATAAATAAGTAATTCATTAAAAAATTTAACCTTCAATACCTTTGCATTATGTGGTTGAATTTCCTGCGATAAATATTATATCAATATTGAGTTATTTTTGAATAATGATCTAAGAACCTATAATATCTGGTTTTACAAGTATACATTTATACATTTTTACAAAAATAATAAGTTCATAATGTTATCAGAAATTTGCAATTTCTAAAATATCTAAATTATGCAGATAAAATGAATAAAATGTATCTTGGAAGATAGCATTATTAATCATAAACGAAACCTTTAGTTAGTAACAAATATATTTTTATATGCATAAATGATGAAGGGTTTAATATTTCTTGCATTTTGTGCAGGCGTTGCGATCGTAAGTATTATAATGCAACTCATTTAGTGTTTAGTGTTTAAACCACATTTTTAATGGCTACCCCGCCTTTTTGACTGAGCATTATAAATATCGCATTTTGAAGGCAAAGGTGTTTTAGAATTAATTAATAACGAGCACCATTGGTCTTCGCATAGTCTTTATGTAAGAACTGCAATTCGCATTAAACTACGGACTCTGCATGCTGAAGAAAAATCTTCCTACAATTCAACTTAAGTATGTATTTCCAATTGGATAGTAATATCTTTGTTTTGAATGAACAAGTAATTCGATAAAAAACATCGTAAATTTGCATTTTTACATTATGCATGAATTTCCTGTGTTTAAAAAACTAATCAGATTGCTTTCACATGATATATTTCTAAAATGAAAGCAATAAGTTCATAAGGTTATCCTAAAATTGCAATTATATGTAATTACACAGACAATTTAAATAAATATAATAGGTATATCCTAGAAGAGAGCATTATTAATATTGAAGCAAACCTTAAGTTAGTAACAAATATATTTTTATATACGCATAAAAGATGAAGTGTTTAATAATTCTTGCTTTTTGTGCAGGCGTTACATTCGTAAGTATGTATAGTTTCATTATTACCTTATTTGTAATTTCCTCAAATGTAAAAATAGTAAAAATTATTAACAGACGTGCCTATGAATTCATAGATGTACCAGTAGCATAATCACCGTACCAAGTATACCAACGATTTTTTTAAAAGATACCAAAACTGTACATTTGGTATATTGGGTATACATAAACTGTATGATTAGATATTCATATATTAATTTTAAGAAATTTACACAGGCTGATTTACATTCAGAACTGCAAGTTATGAAAACTCGCCAGACAGAATGCGAAAATTCACTGGGAGAGCCAAAAAATTTCATGGAAAAACTAGTCGCAAAAGAAGATTTAGGAGATATGGAAAAAGCAAAGAAAATGAATCTCTGCTTATTCATCAAGATGGGTTTGATTTCCGAAACAGGTGAAATATTACAAGACAAACTAAAAGCACATCTTAAAAAACTCACCAATGACGAAAATATAAGAAAACGGGGTATGGAACAATGCGGAAAGAACAATGGCAACAATCCTACGGAAGTTTCCTGGAATTTTGTTAATTGTATGAAAAATCTCTTTCCAGAGGTATTTCCTATTGATTTCCAAACAAGTCCAAATAATGTTGTTCATGATAAATAAGTAATAGCATAAATAGCTTATTACTTAGTCGATAGTAGTAATAAAATACTTATATCATGCTACTCCCTTAGTGTTTAATAACCACCATTTTTTACCTATTAAAATGAACTATACTTTGAACTTTATTTTTAATACCGCGGCTTATAAATATCGCAAGGTACAAGCAAAGGTGTTTTAGAATTAATTAATAACGAGGCACATTGCTCGTCAAGATACAGCTGTACGTTTTCTTGCCCGCATAGCCTTTATGTAAGAACAATTTCGCATTGAGTATTACGTTATGCGACAGGGAAAACTTTGCTTACTGATTATTTATATTCGCACATGTCGTCTGCGAATACCGTCGCAGGTGTTGCAGTAAAAATTACGCTCGTACCCACAGTGATGAAAGAAGCGCTCTCGTTCTTTTCGTCCACTTTTTTTTCGTAATACAAGAATTAAAATAAGGCATAACCACATCTAATGAGTCGAAAAGTATACGTTAAGTTAACAATACGTGACCATATCCCATCTGCTGGGGTTTATGGTTCACAACCCATAAAAAAATTACCGTTGCTCGGTGAAAATTTAATTGTAGTTTCGTATACACGCGGTGCGGCATATGTGGGCCTTCATTCGGCGCGGAAATTGGGTCACTTTTTCTTGAAAAAAATGCATATACGAGGGGTAGACGCGTATCAACCCAACTGAATTTCATATTATTTACACAAATGCTAGAAAAAGTAACGCTTTGTCATCAAATAGTTCTAATATTCGTACCCATGTAATGTGAAGTGAAAGCATAAATTCTTCCCCTAAAGTAAAAGCATTTATTTTATATTAAATCATCCCTTCGAACGTTGTCTCACTAGGGAAATTTATATCCCCATATTAAAATCGAAGTCTCTGCAATTTATGCTTTGTAGATTTATCGCTGGGATTTTGGAAATATGAAAACAACCTTTGACAACTTCTGTTTTAAACCAACATTTTCAATTGAATAATTTACTACAGCAAATCTCGCATAAGAAGCATTTCTAAAATTCAGAAGAAGAAAAAATAAACGAATAAATAAAAACAGGCCGCGTTTTCCGAGATGTAGGTAAGCCCGGCGTCGTCAACGACACGCTACTTTTCGTTTTCCGTGTCGAAAAAGGATATAATTAATGTAGGAAACGATGGATTTAGCGTTGTTTCGCATTTATCCGTGACCAGCGGTTCGAAATCGACCCCTAACGAACCCGTTCCGACACGTAAACTCAAACGTTAATCGATAATAAACATGTTTCGAAACGAACACAATATTTTATATTATATGAATTAATTTTCTCGCCCTATTCAAACGTCCACATAATAGCCTTTCATGATGAATTGAACAAAATGGTTATAATAACAGAGGTTAAAAAATTAATTAGTTAAACAAAACGCATTGATTAGTTATATTTTATTAATAATTACCTGTGAACAAATTCCCGAGGTTTATACGTAAATTGTTTGTTCACTTTCATTTCGAATGAGGGTGTATTACAATGATCAATTTAGAAACGTGTAACAAAAGTTACTTTCGCTAGATTCGTCGGACAAATAATTCGAAACGTAAACCGGAAAATGAAATATAAACGCAATAAATTTTCACGTCACGTATATGCTTTCCGTAAACGAAGGCGGTTCGGGATTAGCGTGTAGTTTGTTTTGAGTACGTAATTAATCCGATGTAATTGCGAGGGAGTAAAGGGATTTGGCCGGCGAACGGCCGGGGTATTAGGTATGCATTGAGGCGAAAGACCGCCGGACCTTCCGGGAGAAAATGTTGATCAAAGCGAAACAGAGCAGTGCAAGGGGTGCGGGCAAAATCGCTGGAAGATATCGAACATGTTCGCGAGAACGTTCCATCGACGCGAGACGGTTTTAGAAGGTGAAGGTCGATTGTAAACAATATAGCGAAGAAAAAACCAGACCAGAACAAGCTCGACCTTTTATTCCATTCAAAAAACACCGGTCTGTATTCTTCCGTTTTTGAATAGAAAAATTTACACCCATCACCCCATGGTGGCATTGAGACGACCAGACAAGTCTGTTATCGATTTTCGAAACCATTATGTGCGACCTCTTTTCCCCGATTATTTTTCTCACCGAAAATCAACACAACAACCAACCGTAAAAATTGATTAACAATTTATCCCCCCAATCATATCCCCATAAATAGATTCCAAAAGTTTCTATACCTACCATTCAACTAGATATTGTACGTAGATGTGTTAAATCTATTGCGAAAAATTCGCCAGTTACGCCGCTGAACAATCGAAATTTCAATTGCTTCCTCATCTCGTACACGTAAGTACACACATACATACAAACACACCAGACGGATCGCCCCCCGTGCGAAGGGTAAACTAAATGAAAGGAGCGAAGGGCATTCCAGTGCCAGACAAAGGTCAGAACTCGTCTGGGACTCTCTTATCCTTTCAACAGAAATCACAAGGACCTGTCTGAAGAGTGGTACCTTAACGACAACGGCTACAGGGCCATCGAGCAAAATCTTCGCGTAATTAAATGAAACAATAGTAGTACTGCTAATAAGCTGAAACGTATTACTTATAGGGTGATTTATATTATGCAATGGCACCTTACAGAGTTTCTCTATAGTATAGATAACTATTAGTAACTTACTGGTAAATAATTATGTAGCATGGAACAATAAATAATTAACTCTATAGAGATTTGTAAATGTGAGTGTTAATGGCACCCTATCGACCGGTTTCCGAATCGCCCTGTAGATTTTCGATCGACCGTGCGAGATTTGTTCGCAGGGTTTTATCTAAACTCCGGACGACGATTGTTCTCGACCAAAGTTAATTGAAATTCACACATCATAAAGGATCCGATGCTGCGGTGGCGAGTTTAGAAACAAGTTTAGTTTGCGTACCAGTGCGTTTTGTGTATGGGATGTCGGTGTGAGAAAATAAAGTAGTCTAATTTGGCTTTATTGTAGAAACATCAAGTTTATTATCTATAAGTAGATAATAATTAAGTAGATCGATATGGGTACTATTGAAAAATTTATTTGGTATTTAATGTTAGTTGTAAATAGGTTTTTGTATTTAATGTAGGCAAGTTTCATACACTTGAAGGTGGAATATTTACAAATCTTTTACTGCGTATAAAAATCCCTACTTTTGTGAGTAGCTCTTTTATCAAATTTCACGAATTTACCTCTCGTGATTTGAGCTGTGCATCGATACGTGCGACAGGATATCATCTTTGTGTATTTAAGAATCTCTATGTAACTACCTATACAAATAGGAGTTGTTAAGTTTAACGAAACGTCAGCCATTTCCAGCGAGAAATCGTCCGGAAACGGAAAAACAAACAATGGGAAAAACCAAACTGGATTTCCACTGGAAGAGTTCCGCATTAAAAGTGCGGCGGTTCCGCGAGCGCGAACGTCCTTGTTCCGTTCAGAATGGAAATCGCAGATATGGAAAGCCGCGACAAACGGCACCCCGAACCGACGCCCGGTTGCAAAGCCACCCCTTCGTGCAGCATCGTAACGGCCTTAATGGCGTTAAATCCGCAACTCTTCCTCGCCAAAACGGATTTCCTTCCTATCAAAATCGAACCCGACGAATTGATTCGGTCATTTTGCATCGCTTAGGGGGGATCGATTGATCACCGTTCCTTCTCTATCGACTTCAATACTTCCAATGGAATCAAAGAATTAAAGGAAGCAGGTGTATTTAGTTAATTCTAATTACTTCATAGTCAACAAAGTGTAACTCTTGCATCCATTATTATGGATTATCCAATCATCTCTAACTTGATGCATATCAACCAGGTATCTTTTTGGGTACATCTGGGTGTTGCATCAACACTTAATCATTAAATGTGATGGGAAAATTTGGCGGAATGGGAAATCGCAGCGGAAGCCGCCCCTGTGCAGATTCGTTTTTCGCAGAGAGCTCCCTAGCCGGAGTCCAGACCCGGCTGCAGCGTATCCATGGGAACCGGTGGGAACACGCCGTTCGGCTTTTCCCCGTTGCTGCGGCTGCTGCAATACGTGCGAGACTACGGTTACGGCTGCGATTGCGACGACGACGAGACTTTTCATTAAATAGTTATCTGAATTATGAACGAGGGGAAAGTGCCCCGTCGTTTAAACCGTTACGAACGGTAGCTACTTTGCCTTCTTTTTTTTGTTTTGTTTCGTTCGTTCGGGGGAGTTTTTTTTTTGGGGGATATGGAGATATTTCGTTTGGGTTTTTAATTTGATTGGAGTGATTTTTGAAGGGTGTATATTCGATTTGAATAACAGATATTTGTTTTACAGGATGCTTTGATTGTTGCGATGAAAGAGTTTGTTTGTTGTTTGAAAGTGAAGAAATTATGAACTCCATAATGTATAGTTTTTTATAGACTACACTATTATAATGGATTTTCGAATAAAAAATGTTTTTAAAACTATAAACTGGTACTATTTTTTAGTATATTATTCCCCCTAGGGAGTTGTTTGTACAAGTTATCCGAACGTTTAACTGCAGCAGGAAATTCCACGGGCGGTAATTTGTAAATTTTCCGTTTATTTTCACCGGCAACATTTCCCGTACAAGTTCATTGATATTTCATGTATCAAACGAGCACGAATCAATCATGGTCCTCATAATCATCAGCATGGAAGAGAATCGGAAATGGATGAATGGCCGCTCGAAATGGGCGCAGCTGCCGCGTTTTTCGAATCCGATTCCCGTGCCCGGCGGAGTCATCGACCGATACGGGCGTGCGGTTTCTGCCTCCGGTTCGGAGTTTACGTGATGAATTTTCTTTTTCCCACCCGCCGCCCGAACCGGCCGCCCCCCCGGCCGCCGCCGCCGCCACCGCTCGCTCTCTCCCTCGCTTCCCGTTCGCTCGCCTCACCCTCCCTGATTAGATTGTCAATATCGGATTTTACGAGAGCCTACTTTACGACCGCCGGTGCACCCTGTACGTACCGCGTGACCCTTTGAACGAAAATTGTAGGTTTTTCGTTTGATCATCGAGAGGAATCGTGTCGAACATGCGTGCGTACGTAACGGGCGAGATATATTGCGTGGACTATAAGTAACGATACGAGGGTGTGTGGATATGTGCGCGAAGAGAATGGTAGACTTTTCGGACAATAAGGGAATACTGATGGCGAACTGATGGAATTCTAATGCAGTCCTTTCGGGCTCCCTTTCTAAGGCTTCAACCCTTAATCTAAAAAGCTTTGGAGGGAAAGTACTTTTTCATCGAGAAACGAACGCTTAAGCAGCTACTGTATAACTCATCGGGCTATTACAATAAACGCAGTAATTATACATCGATACATTAATTGAATTAAATTTTTTTGCATGGCTCGTTGGGCTTTTCCGTAATAAATAGAATGAAGGACACAACGAGAGGTAGGCACAAAGTGTCACTGCTATATTTCTCCGGGTTTCACCCCTGCAAACCCTCCCCTGTAATTAACGATCACGTAAAATATCGTGACTGTACAAAATTAATTCCGTAATTTATGAAATACTTACATCGATTTTGAAATTATCTCAAACGGTTGACTTAAGTAGGAAATCAGCAATCTTACTGAGTTGCATTGGATTTTCTAAAATTAATTATTAGATGTCGCTAGGAGTAAGAGTGTTTACGTTTAAAGCAATTAATGCAAACAATTACAAAATTAATTAAAATGTGCATTTGACTAGAAAATAAGAAAATATATTATTTGTTATTTATACGGGGTGCTTCGAAATTTATTTAACTTTCTTGGGGATATAATTTCATAGAGGTACTAATCAATCAAAATTAGATACTACCAATATTAAGTTATTTCTGATTTGATTACTGCAATTTTATAATAATGTGCAAGAAAATTCATTCGGAAAATGTCCTTTTAGTTCATCCCTGCGGAAAGAGATTACTTTATTCCCCTATTTTTACCCAACTGACTAATATTTTTATTTCATATCCCATTTTACTTGTAAAAAAGACATAAACTCCGATAAGGCCAAATTGTACATTGGGGTAGTATTTGGGGTTAAAATTTCCATTTGGCCGCATTATCGATATTACTATGATAAGATAAGATGTGATTGCGAATATCTAGTTGGTTGCATATAGAAAAATAAGGCGTAAAACGAATAATACTTACATATGAATAACGGTGATATATGTAGCTGCAATCATTTCTTGTTTTCACATCTGTCTAAATACCTGTAAAAATGTTCAAAATAATTTTTAAGCCTATAAGGCAAACAAAAATAAACGAAATATAATAAGTGTGTTGAATTCCCAAAATCAATTCATAAAAGATTTAATGTAGATATTCTTACTGAAAAAAATGTTTAATACTTTATAATGTCGTTAACTAATCTATTGATAGATTTAGGTACTAATATAAATAGCCAAAGGAATGCATTATATTTTCGCAGACACCCTGTGTTATATTGTATACGAAATCCGATGTTTGCACTGCTTATAGGTCTCATATTCCATTAAACTACCATCTATCCTCATTTCGGATTTACATAACAAAGTCAGGTAGAGAGGAGATTTCTACGCAATTGTCGGGGTCTCCATTTTGGTCCTTCCGGATCTATAGAAAAAACGTTTATATATTGTGCCCGATTCCGACACTCGAGCAGCGATTTTACAAATAATGCCGAGTAGGAAAGCTAAAGCTCGTGAAAGAAAAAAGGACCCGTTTCGGGTAGTTTTGCGAAAAGGAGAAAAAGGTGCACAGCTGGGCCTCCGCATTGAAAGTGTACCCGTATACAGATGAATGAACGCAATTTCACGGTTTAACGGCGTCTTCGGCGAAATATGCTTTCGTGAAAATCGTTAACGTTGATGCGAATTTGCATGAGGGTGCGCGAAGTTGTTGTTTCACATAAATTATTGACGGTTCCTTTCAGTTACTTCCCAATTTTTAGCGTCAATATTTGAAATAATTAGCGAATTTATGAGATGTTGATGTTTCCTTATAGGAAATGATTCAATTGGGTTTCCATTTGGCCAAAAATGAAGATGAAAAGAAAGAAATGAAAATCATTATTGAATACAAATACATTTTATTATCATAATTATATATTTCACTAGATATAATAATATCCCTATGTATGTATAATTACTGGTGTATGATAAAATAAATTATAAGTATAATAATGGTATAGCAACATTTATTATAATATGTACTTTTATAGTTATGTAGAAAGATAATATTGAGTAGAGAATATAATAATATATATAATATATTTTCCGAAAAAACGTGTACTCGTACAAAATACTGACCGCATAACATTTATATGTGTATGCTACGTATTTAATTTTATTATTAGTAATAATATTATTAATATTAAAATATATATATGGGGATGGGATATACATGATCAGGAATGGTACATTCACTTTTAGTTCTTATTATACATCCTCACAATAACAGTCAATATACAACTAACGTGTAAATTAATTGCGAAATGTCCGAATTTCAATGGGGAAATTGAGCCACTTCGGTATAATTTTCCATTTCAACACCTAATACTCATGGAAGTACACACCATGAACCTATTTATTTTTTGTTAAATATTTCACATCGAGAACACGTTCAGTGGAACTCTGAATTATTGACAAAAGTAAGTGAAAAATATTCTTTTTTGCAAAAATATCTATGTATTTTTTAGTATACTTTAAGCAAAAATTTCATTAAAAAAAAGACGAAAAAACTATAAAAAAATTGCATTTCAAATTCGCTCGTCCTTCAAATTAATTTAGCCAAAACCATCTGTCATGTTGAAACGTAAAATAGAAATAAATTAATTTATTCGAAATGCAATTTTGCCTATTCATATTTTTTTCAATATTTTTAGATTATCTTGTCGCACATTCAAAAATATTTTTTAATAAGAAAATAGATTAATTTTTTCCAAGCAGTATCGACTTATAAAAAAGGGTATATCATAGGTGTAACAATCGTGCGTTATTTTTACCCAACAAAAATAAACCAAACAAAACGAACTCAAGAATATTTCCCAAAAATATCGACCCTGCAGTTCCAAACGATTCGTTCGCGATAAAAAACATTTTTATAAAAGTTTCACAAAAAACTTGATCCGAAAATTCAGCTCACTTTAATCAGTCCACTTGCAGTTCTGAAAATCTTCAGGAACCCAGCAGGGTGCTATCTATATTTTTGGGAAAATACGACAAACAAATCCTCAAAAATTTAAACTACATTCAACACTAATCGAGTACGTCATATTATTATATCATAAAGAGAGTTAAGATTTAAGTTGCATGCGTTTTCATAGTGAGAGAAAAAGGGAGTTTAGGATGCAAAATTATCAAAAATTTGCCTAACGAAATTCCTTTACGAGTTGTTAAGTGGGTAAACTTCATGAGTTTTGTTTTGTGTTGCTACAATTTTAGGTGTTGATTCAACTTCTTTTACTATTTATTACATTAATTCGTTACGATTTTTCTACTATTGTAGAAAATAATGTAACTATGTTTTAGAATTTTTTGCGAATCAAATTTAATAATTTAACCCACAAGTTTAACCAATTAAATAAATTTTACTATACTTCGTTCTATTTTTTTTAATTTGGACGGTAATGATATGACTTTTGTATTTATAATAAATTTAATTGAACATGATCCGTCCGTGATTGGTGGAGGTGGATTTTTGATAATTTTGGAAGAGCTTCTTTAGAAAGAGGATGGTAATTAATAAGAAGTAGAAGTTGTTATTTTTTGTATATTCTTGTTAATGAATTGGTCACCGAATTTAATACTTAATTAAATACGTTGCTATGCAGTATAAATTTAAAAATGTGTCCTAAAAAAATTTTACGAAAACGATTCTCTCGCGTTCTTTATTAACTTTTATTGCTTGATTAAACCTTAAATTATAGCTGCATAACAATTTTTCTTTTTCTTTTTAGTAACTTTGATTTTGGCACCAGATTTACGATTAAAATATATATTTTTTTATCCTTAATCCATTACTCGTCGATGTTTAAAATGTTCCCCATTATATAGTTAGTTATTGTTTGCTTTCTAACGTGCGATTCGATTCTAAATTGAAAGCAACTCAACAAGAAC